TGCCATCACTGTATAAAAATAATGCTTTTATATATTCGATTGTTTTACGAGCTCGATAACAACTGAAATCAACAAAAAAAAAATTTGAGCTGTCTTTTGATATTCGCTAAAAAGTGACATTATTTCGCCCATAAACACCGCATTGAACTTGTTATATGGGTTTCGCATCGAAAAGAGTTTTATCTTCCTGTTTTCTCTTCCTTTCTTCTCTTTCCATTCGTTATAGCGAATACTTTGTTTCAACCATGGCGTTGTGCATTGCATGTTGAATGTATTTTCGGTTGCGATTTCACAAAAGACAGCAATTTTTGATTTCTATATATGACTCGCATCCATGGAGACAGATAAAGATACATAATACGAGAATGATAGAGAAAGAGAGAGAGAGAGAGAGAACGCTCTTCGAATGTGTCGTTTCATTGAATTTGAATGAAATTGTTGAATTATGCACATATACGCATGATTTTCCCGATACTTGAATATTAATGTGTGCGCTCAATGTATGCAGAGCAAACGAGCGCTTACTGTGAAAAAGATTGCCGTGGAATGTCGTGATTTGCATGTAAATTTTGGATGATGTTACCGTTAGATTTGATTTGTATCCTGTTTTAGTGCCATTCAATAGAATATAATGGTGATGTTAATGAACATTGCGGCTTTCGCTTTATAGACACAACCACTACAGTTTCAATGAATTTTTATCCACGATAGTTCTAGAAAGAATGACAACGACATCAAAAAAAAAATTCCAACTACACAGCATACATACACTAAAGAAATAACAACAATTTCGTTCGTTCCCGCATCATCACGGAACATTTGACAGGCTAGAAGTGAACAAAACAGAGCAAGAGAAAGAGGGAGAGAGGGAGAAAGAGATCAAGAGAAAAAGGAAGGAAAAAAGAATGGTGGTTCCGATTTGAAAGCAAAACATACACACATGTACATCAAAATATGTGCCATTATATCAAATTATACTTTGCTATAATATTTTACGTTGCCAGGATAAATGATTGTACAATGAGGAAAGTGAAGAGAATACATCCGATTCAAATTAAATATGTATACTGATCTTCACTCATACACATACAAAAAGCATATAAAACTGAAATTATATTAAGGGTGCTTATATTCAGTCAGGCAATAAACTTAATGTTTTCATATACAATATGAAATTGTACACAGTAAAACATAAACATGTATACATATACTGTACAATGTGTGTGTATGTGTGTGTATGTTCGGGGTGCTCGCGCGGTAAAGTGAGATAGAGAATGTAGGCAAAAAGATACACACATGACTTAATGCATTCAACCGTTGTTATAGAAAAATCGTTGGAAGAATTGTATATGTATCCATTTATCAAACGCGAACAGCAGCCACAATGCTCGACTCCACATTCATATATATACATTTTCTGGCAACAACAAGAGGGTGCGAAAGAATCAACAACGGTTAATGTGTTTGTAGCATAACCATAGACATCCATTCGGTTGACGACGATGATGATCACAAAAAAAATGATATTATATATATAGACAAAAGTGCAGCACGCATATGAATTCTATGTGCAACAGTAATACTTTTATTTGTTTTGCGCGCGCTACTTAATCCACTAAAATTTTGTTTTATTTTCCATCTCCGCCTTTTGAAATAAAATTTACAAACTATTCCGATGCACAGAAGAAGAAGAAGAAGAAAAACGGCAACTCTTTTCAAGTGCTCAAACCAAATGCACTTTATTGAATGAGAGCCTTGGAAATGCGAAACAACAATTAATAAAATTCACTTTTAAGGCGGCTTCAAAACTTTTACTCTCAACACACGAACATTGCAATGGTTTGGTGCATGAGTTGGCGGCTCAAAATGACATTGCATTACTCGGGATCTTTTTTTTTTAAGTAGCGTTTTATTTATTTGATGTGTTGCCGCGAATAATTCAAAGTGATTACAACACCATTAAGACATACAGAGAATGAGAAAGAAAATATAGCCACAAATTAGCATGTGTGAGCGCAAACAGAGACAGAGTGTGCATATGAGCCGTTTGCATGACATACCGTAAATATGTACATTTTATGTGTGCAAAAAAATATTGCAGCAACAACAAAAAACGCACATACAAAATGTCCTGCATAAAGAGTATGCGGTAGCGATGACCGTCATGGCCCGATAGACATTAACTTTGGTCTGTATGCATGACGACGACGACAATCCATATATCCATAAAGTGCGATATAACGTACGGGCATTTGAATATCATGTGCGTACAAACGTATATATCACAACCGACATGAACGATGCGTGTGCATGTTTTTGGGTGATATTCGGTTGAATGTTCGACCGTCATTGCAATTTCGTAGTTTATCGTTTGCATGAAACCAAAAGGAAACAAAATCGAAACACCATGCGTCTTTTTAAAGCGAAAACATCTCTCTCAGTCTTGCACTGCTCGGGTACAATAACTTTGTTTGGTCTTCCTTCTATCATTTATACAATGATGTTGTTACTGCCGCTATTTCCATTCACGAAAGAAGATAGACTGTGTGTACTGTTGGTGCTGCGATGCTGTTACTATTGACGCTGTAGCCGTCGTCATCGTCGTTGTCGTCATCGTAATATATCGTTGCAATTTTTTATGGTTACAATATAGCCGCTGTGCCCGTTTCTTTCTCTTAGCCAAAGTCGTATGCTATGTCTTTGTTTTTTTGCTATGTCAAATCTATATCGTGATCATAATGCGGTGCAAATGTACATGTGTACGTGTTTAAGATACAAAAATAAAAACCAGTGAAAAAAGAGACTATTTTGAAGTGCACATAGTGAACATTGGAATCGCATAGTGTACCATTCAAACCCTTTGCACACTTTTGTTTACGAATTGTCCGTTCAAGTATTGCCTCGTTGCTTGACGTTTCAGTTGCTGTCTTGTTTTCTTTGGCTGTCTCACTCTCTCCGAAAGCATCACTGACACACACAATTCATTTTATACATGCAGTTGAGAACGATATATGTGGCCCACATGCCTTATATATATATAAATAATTCGGACCGTTACAGCGTTCTTTCGAAACGGATATATATATATATGCTATTATATACATGCACACTGGCATCAGTATACGTGTGTATGTATGCGGTTTTTGGTTCATGGTGGGCTACTATAAAATGCACACAAACAAACAATAGTATCGAATCGAAGCATAAGAGAATCATCAGCTCCTGTTCTATTGCACACACAATACGCTCATTTTCATTATCTCTCTCTCTCTCTCTCACTCTCAGCTCTCTCTCAATGCCACACACGACATAATAAAATAACAACAATAATAACATTGTACTAATAATTTTTCGCTATATTGTACACCATTAAGAGTAAGTTATGTTTAGTCAAATATAAGCCGTTGCCGAGTGAATATATAAGTGTGTGTGTGTGTATGTGCGAGGGGAGAGAGAGAAATGGTGCGTACATTCGGTATCAAATAGCGCAAGTAGCATACACAAAAAACGGGAAGACTATTCATTGTGTTCGGTGCATTCGGTGAAAACGAGTGCGCTTTTCAAAATTGATCTCTTGGACGGCGCTTTCGCTTTTCGTCGTCGTCATTGTCTTTCGGTGCGATTTATTGTGAAATGCGAGTATATGGGAGATTTTCCAGTAACAAATAACAAAACAGACAAAAATTTACAAAAAAAAAAAACAAACAAAAACAAAACAACCGTACACACGAATTTCTTTCGGCACAAAATGTTCATCTGTGAATGAGTTTTATCAAAGTTAAAAAGCGCGCGCATCCACAGTGTTGTAACTCATTCTTCATATATATATTTTTTTTGTTTCGACTAAACAACATTTTTTTGTTCTACTCTCTATGTTGTTTTTATTTCGTTTCCAAAGTATTCGAAAGCCTCAGTGCTGGCCTCAGTGTCAGTTTTGTGTGTGAAATTGTTTCATTTAACTCGTGTCTCATTTTCATTCTGACTTCAGTGTTGTGTGCGTGTGGCATCTAATAATTTTGAACTTTTGATGCAAAAAATAACTTTATTTTTATCGTTCGGTTCGGTTCGGTTTACTTAACGCGACATACAATTCACATCGTTTTATTTGCACTTACGATACACATGTCGAACCGTTTTTCTCCACTATATTATTTTACGTAAATATTTGAATAGTTCAAATATTAGTCAAACACCAACAACTTCCATAAAGACAAGAGACAACACAGTGTGTTTTTTTTTTCGTCATTCATTTCATTTGTGTAATGCCTAAGCATCACAGTGCAATTATATTCTTCTCTATGGTTATTTAGTGATACGTGTGTGCTAATTCAATAGATGAATTTTTTTGCTTAATCGTCAATATTAAACTGAATCGATTGTAATCGAGTGCGATCATAAAGTAATGAAACAACGCGATAAAACAATTTAGAACTATATTCTGTGCGAAAGACAAAGCGAAAGTGAAGAGTCGCGTGTTTGTATGCTTTCATCATTGTTTGTGATGTATGACAGTAAATACGTTACGTCAAAATCTCACAATTTCACACTTTCGTGAACGAACACACGGTGCACGGTATTCAATTCAATTTTGTTTTGTGTTCTATTGATCAAGGCCGCTAAACACCGCAGCAATGTGTGACTAATATCGGAAGTCGAACTGTGAACTCATACTCCATAAAAAAATATCCACGTAATATAAATATAACAAATATTTGCAATAAATAAAAGAAAAATTCTATAAGTGCATAAAATCAAAAGCCAAAAGTACTGTTAGAGCGCGATGAATAGAGAAGAAGAGAAAAAAAAACAATATCAACAACAATTTGATGATACACACTATTTAAGCCGTTTAACGCTTATGTTATTTTGATAACAGCCATTAAAATATAACTAATTCATATCGAAACAAGTGAAAAATGCAAATAAATCAGAATCTATTAGGCAATGTGAACAAACATATGGTTATGATTCGAATATAAATGCAAGAATTAATCCGTAGTAAGAGTGATTGCGCGCGTACGTTAAATTTGATTACGATAACCGAATCGAAACGAATTCAATATTGCATATTTCGCATTTGAATCGTTTGTTTTGTTGGCGTTTACGATAGACATATACAACATATGAACATAAAATACGTATTGCTAAGAGGAAAAAAAAAAAAATAACACAACACAAAACGGTTTCCGCAGCGAAAAGTGAACAAGAGTGAGAAGAGAGTGTGCTGAAGAGCGGCTCATTCGGCATGAATGTTTTCAAATGCCAATTATGAGTATCAGCAGCACCAGCAGCCGCATTTGAATGAGAGACAGAGAAAGCAAGTTAGGTTCCATATCACTGATTTTATTGACTGAATAGTGAAGCGCACACGGGCGTACAGTACAATATTGAAAATTGCGATTTTCATGTGAATGTAATCCGTTTTTGGAAATATGTCGTTTAAAAGTGATAAACCCATATTAGATCAGCAGCATCATCAGCACCACCATCATCATCATCAAAACAACCATCACCACCACCACCACCTCCAACAACAGCAGCAGCAGCAGCAGCAACAACATTCAGTCTGCGCTCCACCATCATCGCATTCATTTCGGCAAACGTATGGTGATACAAAAACCGTATACACAGCACCGATTATGAATATTGACAGTGATATTAGCAATTTGAATATTTTATCTAATAACAATAATAACGTAATTAATAAAGTTCCTGAACCGGTTCGCTCATACGAAACGATTAATAATAACAACAATATCATGGATTGTATGCAACAGCTTCAGCAATATCAGCAAGTTCAGTTAATGAAACCGACTACCGAATCTGGGGTACGATTAAATTCACGTTCAAATAAATTGTATTAAACACTTTTTTCCTCCTTTTTACCAACACAGTTTCTTTTCGTTTCGTGACTCTCAATCTCTCTCTCGCTCTCGTTCTCGTTCTCGAACTGAGTTTTATTGATTCTCTCTTTCTATCGCCCATTTCCATCTTGAGCTGATTGAAGTCGACTTAAATGTTGGTGTTTGCATTTCATGACAAATTGTACGATTAGATATGTATCGTTTGAATATTATATCATTTCCTATTTTCGTGTACACTTAAATTGTTTACAACTAATTCAAACACGAATGAATAGATGAATAGCGGGTGGAGTTTTCATTTTACCCGCCCCAAAAAAAAAAAATGTATATTGAAAATTTAATTTAACGTGCGATCATATTCCATATATTTTATTATTCATATTAGTTTATTAAATGTGATTATGGAGCAACAACAACAACAATTGGAATTCCGACGCAAATCGTGTGCTCTCTTACGCGTGTTAACGATAACATGTAGTTTGTTCTCAACAACAACACAAAAAAATTCTTCAAAGTTTTGTTAATTTTTTAGTATTTTCAACAAAAATAAGTGTGCTTCTCACGCACGTACTCTCACACCAATTTACGTACTCTCTCTTTTCTATCTCTCTTGTCTCTCGCCTCTCGTGCATATTCAATTTTCAATTTTAATTGCCCATTCAAAAAAATAAAACGACAAAATTTATATATGCCTACATCAAATCAGTAATAACCGGTATTTGACACGAAAAACCATTTATTTCATGTTAAAATATCTGTTGACGGTTCACACTGGGATCATAAATATATCGCGGTTAAACGAGCACATACAAAAAATTGAACTGCAAATACAGAACAAATATAGAGAGTCTGCATGATGTCATAGGGCAATAAGGATCAATTAAAAATAATTGTGGATCACTTACGCATAAATATTAAACTTATTCGTTTAACGAAATTACCTTCAATCGTCGATTAAATCAATTAAGTGTGTGTGTTTCTTTTTTCATCTCGGATCGCATGCAAAAGATGATCGGATCAAGCAATACATTAAGACTGCTTTGAGATGACTTAAAATTAACTCAACCTATAAATCAAATAAAAACGAATTGATTTTGCCGCAAAAGAGAATGCCATCATACATTTTTTTGTTTCAAAAAAATACGTCTGTGATCGTCTTTATTTCCGAAAAATTGTTCGACCATTTTAATAAAAATCAACATTAAGATAATTCATAAAGCATGCTCCATTGTGGAGTCTTGGCACAGCAACCATAACCGAAAAATAATTCTGAAACGTAGAAACATTAATTGATTTACGCAATTGAATTTATCGCAATGTCGAGAGAATGTAGATAAAATTAAGTACGTTTCAATTAAAAAACCGACGAAACGGCAAGAAAAAAGGGTTACATACAAAGATCATGTTTCTACTGAATGTACAAAGTCGTATGAGTAGATTTTAAGAATGTTTTTTTTTCGGCTAAAATCGCATTTATTTCATATCTGTTGAAAGCGTACGCAGTCCGGCCACATCGATTTAGAATTTATTTGTTCTTTTTTTTCTCTCGTATTTTTTTTTTTATTGCTTCGTATCTTTCGTCTGAAATTTTCATTTCACTTCAGATTTTGGCCCGTTGATTTCTATATATATATATATTTGCGTTTATTGTATCGTTTTTTTGTTCATAATTATCATTTTTGTTTCTCATATGCTTATTTATTGTGTACATAAATATTTCTTTTCTCTCATTTTTCGTCTATTCTTTTTTTCGTGTATTAAACATGAGAGAAAATCGCGACGGAATTAGTACACATCGAATCAATAATTTGTTAATGTCTGTACTTTATTTGCGTGCTTAAAAAATTATATGAAATTTAAAGAAAAAAAAAACAATTTCGATTTGAATACGTTCAATTGGTTTTTATTGATTGGCGCGACGAATCGCACACAAAAATCAATTTCGCTCCCTCACATGCTCTCATTCTTTCGGTATTAACTGTTTTGTTTGCGCTCATTCTTGTCGATCTTAACGTATCCGCACCGAATATTTTCGCCAAATTCAAAAGTAACCAACATGGCTTATTTTCTTTTCTCCGCGAAACATTCGAATGAAAAATTGAATGTTTCGTACATCGAACATTTGTTGGCTAGTTGGTTCACGAAAAGTGCGGAAAGTCATAGCATGTATTTATAATATTGATTTCATTGTCATTGGGTTATTTGTGGTGCGTCTTATTCCGTGGCGCGGAAATCAAATCTCGTCGAACCGAGGGAGTTTGTGTGTGTGTGGCTATTTCAAAATACAGAGAGCGATTTATCATCAAAATGCTAATTTGGTCAATTGCCAAGCAAATAAAAATTGACAACAAGGAACCGAATACAAAGCCGCACGTATCCATTACACGTGATCGAATTGTAAAATCGTTCGAATGAATAATTGGCCTGAGAATAAACTAATATTATAAATATATAGTTGCGTGAAATTGCTCATAGTTTTTCTTTTCTTTTTGTTTGTTTGTTTCACTTCGAATTTCACATGATACGATTTAAGAATTGAGATGCTATTTCTGATTTAATACAACCGAATGGTGATCGATTCCATCATTATTTGCGTATCACAATTCTCAGACTGTATCGATAAAGATGGGAATGAAATTTTTCATCGGCTTCCTCGCATTTTGTTTCGTTTTCATTCCATTTTCATTTTTATTGGTTCGTTAGTAACAGAAGTTGGTAGCCAGTGAACTTTTATAGTTATTTTATTGAATTTCAGTTGAAGAAAAACGAAAAAAAAAACAAACACATAAACGACGTTTTCCAAATCAATATGATGGATTTGTCTTGTTTTAGTTTTTATTACAATTCCATTTTTTATTTACATTGTTTTGCCATCCGTAGTTATTGGGTATTATATATAATTTTTTTTACCCATAATGTATATGTGTGTGTCTTTCTTCTTATTTGCTTAGCTTCGAAAATGTAAACACCAAGATTTTTATTATTACCCACAAAACAAAACGATAGAGCTGAGAATATATATATATATATGTTTAACCAAAAACAAAACGAGATCTAAATGTTTTTTCTTTCGCTCTCTTCAGTTCATTCAGAATAAGCCCATAAAATATGTATCATGAAAAATCCAATGAAACACGATATATTTCGAGTGAGAATGAATTTATAAAAAAGAGCACCGAATTTACAGTTAAAGGTTGAAGACGTAAACGATGAAAAAAAAATATATATAAAATAAACAAACGCGATTTACTTGCTGTTGGCGTGTGCACTTAGCCAGCCACGCAGTTACTTTGGGTCCACATATACATGCACACAAGAGCAACAGAGCGGCAGCAACAACACCAGATACAACTGCAACAAAGCAGTACGACGGACCGTCGACTTCTTTCTTTTTGCTGTTGTTGTCGTTGTTGGTTCTTGTTTTTTTATTTATTTTTTATTTTGCTCTCGTCGATATATCTCTCTTGTTTCGATATGCGGATCAAACAAAATTACATGCTCATAATTTGGAATGGACAGAATATGTACAAGACAAGGCATTTGTTCGAACAATCTTATGCAATTATTCAAACAAAACTGCCGAATAATAATCTGTCAAGTTAAATGCATGTACACGGCGGCAAAACCAATATTCAAATCTATTTACGTCAAACTCATTTGAGGTTGTCCTTTATCTATCTCGCAATACGCAATTTCATTTATCTATGGATTGCATTACACAAAATTGTGTGTACGTGTGTGTGCGTTGCGTGTTTTTTTTTGTACATTGAAATCGATTAACTGCGCCATGCATTCATATGATTACATTTTAATACCTAACTTCAATATGATGTCGCTTTTGAATGCGATTCCAATGCAACAGAGAAACGATTGTAGCTGGATTAGATACATAGACACACACACACACGTATTGCAAGCATATTGCATTCAGATAATTAACTTCGATGTAGATCTGCGTACAAGCAATTTGTTCACAAATCGTTCTCATTTTGTTTTGCACCATTTTTTCTCTTTCTTTTTCTCTCTCTCTCATTCGAGATCTAGCTATTTATCTGTATACCTCCTTTTTTTTATATATTGTGACTCCCGCACTCTTATTTCAATTTTCTTTTGCCTGGTTTGGTTGCAATGCGAGAAAAATATCGCCACGAGAAAGGAATTAGACGCGCACGCAAAATGAACAACAGAAAATAAAATTAAATCGGTACAAAGGGAATGGACAATATCCCAATGGCAAAGTACCAACAACAACATTGACAGCCAACAACGACAAAAAGAATCACATTGCCACAATCTATTTTTATTAAAGTTGTCTTGTTCTCAATTCACGCAATCAGTTTTACTGCAGGGGAAAAAAGATGGAGCAGAGAGTTGAAAAAACGAACGAAATTCTGATGTAAATGTTCGGTTTGCTGGAAGTTGATTTTTTTTCACGTTCAATCTCTTTCTGACTCTTTCAAAAGCAATCGTCGGTTGCATGAAATGCAAACTCCAACTAATTTTATTGCAAATTTATCATCGCTGAATCCGTACCACTAAATGTTTTCATTTGCATCAAATAAACTTTGCGGCCATTTTGGAAGGCACTGGAAAATGACAATATCCATCAACCCACGCCACCCTGTCTCTCTCTCTGCTCCACAGCCGAGAAAATGAGGTTGACATCAATTTATTTACAATTGAATACGGAAAATACATCAAGCCTCAATTTGGTGTGAAATCTGTGCTTGAGCTTGTTTTTTTTAGTATCACACTGATCTTGCTTTGGGATAGCTCATTTCATTCTTTGCAGCATGCACATTTCATTAAAATATTATCGCCTTTTATTGAATTTTAATCGAAAATTTTGAACATTTCATTTGACCAAAATACTTCAATGGCTGAAGAAGACATTCTCCTAATGAACACCCACTGATATTAATCACCAAAATGCCTTCAATTTAAAATCAAATCGACCACAATTATTTTCCCAACTATATTACAATCAGCATCACATCATTTGTAAAATATTTTAAAGTTTTCAAACGTAGAAAAAAAAATAAATTTGATAACATATAAAGGCTTAAAAAAATAAATGAGCGAAAATTCGAGCAAGTGAACTCGGGAAAAACGGAGGAAAGTAGAATCGCGAATAAAAAAAGAGCGTAAGCGAGAACGAGAGCACATAATATGTGGTGTTCAACGATGGAAAAGAGTAATCTACGTCTAATCGACACAACCATATACTATAGTCAAGCATATAATAGCCCTGTCTCACATACAACCGATATAATTTCCGTTTGCACTTTCTTTGTTGCTTTATTTCATCTCATTTATTCTCCTAATGCGTTGTAATTTAATAAAAGCAAAAAGTTAATAGTTTTACCAATGTTTTTGCTTCGCCACATTGCAAATGAAAATTTTTTGCCCGTTTTCTTCCGCCAATATATTTATGTGTGTGCGTGTGTATTCACATATCGCTCCATTCCTCTCCAATTTGCTCTGGTGTTTTGTAATGTGCATGAACTATGTAATATGTGAAATTTTTGTGGGAGTATATGTGTTTGTGTCGATTTTGGGTCGTACACTTGAAAATGATTATACATTAGTGTGTTTGTGTGCATAGAACACAGAAGACTTGAATCATTGACGAGAGCAGATAATGCACAGTATATATCATTGGATTCATAAAAACGTAAAAATAAGAAAAATACGACGACGACGTCGACAACAACGACTTTAACGTCAAACGTTTAACTTCAGATGGTTTTGGTAATTCCTAAGTCGTAACTTATGTAATAGATAAATGATGCTGGCTAATATACAGGATGATAGATAAATGATTCGTAACAGAAGCAAGTATACATATATATGTGTGTGTAATAAACAAGACGATGAATCCAAAAAGATAAAGAGCATCAAATTAGCAAAATTCCAAATCGACAAAACACACAAGTCACCCCAAATGAATTTGATCAAAGCCGTACGAGAGACAAAAAAAAACACCGCACATTCAATACCAAACATTTTATGAAACGACTCTTTCATCGGTTGATGAATAGCTGTTGTTTATTCGTATACGTTTGGTTTTTCAACGCGGGACATCGAATAGATTTCACAGAGATTTTTTATTGTTTTCATTTTGGATATGCATGTGTGTGTGTTTGCATCAATGCATGTGTGGGCGTATGTAATCGACATACTCTGCAGCTCATTAACCCTTTGTATAGATCGCATCAAAAGTGCATCAGATGAAATGCTGCTTCATTTTCAGGCCAAACAAAATGGGCCAATAAATTATTCACGATAAAAAAAATATATATATATTACTTTGCTATTACTTATAGCACCTATTTGAACAAGATAAAAGGGTATACAAAGACTTACACATTTGGAATCTTTGTTATGTTGTCACAACTTCCATCTGCTTAATAATTTAAATGATCATGAATATGTGCCCCATTTTATCATTCGAATGTTGTAATGATTTTAGTCGACAAGTGTATTCCCATAGTTTTTGCCTGTACTAAATTTTTAAAAGGAAAAAAATGCGATGTGATACACCGATGCGAAAAGAAAAGCAATATAAAAAATATCATGTCGAGATTCTATTTCTCTAAAAAAGACCAAAAATAAACTATCTAAAACGAAAAATATTCGATATCAGATATACTACTTAAAACAATTTTGCCAAAATAGAAAAGATTCCAACAATTGTTTTTCTCTTTTTCGAAGTTTTGCTTTGCAGCTCTTAACATGATATCGCTTTGATTTGGTGCATGTTTGAAATGCAAATCTTTTGAGCACCTTATTTGTATGAAATTCGATATTGTTTTGTTATCAAATATGTTATTGGCGTAAAAGAATATTTCCATCCCTTTTATTTCAATATCCCAGAAGGATATGAAGGACATTTCATTGAGCATCTTGAATTAATAAAATTTTGCAGAAATAATTAAAGATTATGTAGGTTCTTTGCCTGTGTACGTTTATCATAATATTCGTTGCGTTGAATTTTTTTTTTTGAATTTTAATGGTTTTCAAGCTACGATAGAAATCGTAAAATATATATATCGTGCCATCGAAGTTTTTTTCTTCTCTCGACTTTCGCTATAAATAAATGAATATCATTTTAATATTTATTTCATAGTTGGCTTATCACTTTAATTGTTTGTTTTCTCATAATGTCAAGGTCTGATATTCATTTTATGTTGTGTTCTTTTTTTTTCAAGTTGGGGGGAAAAAATCATCCCACCCACATTTAACAGAAAAATGCTCAAATATTTGTAGAACGAGTGAGAAAATATTGATGTTGTTTGTTGAATGAACAATGGCTAAAAGAGCAAGCATTGAATCTATTTTATAAACATGTCACGATAAAATTTTAATCTACACATACACTGATTTACCGGAAATTCCCTGTTCGGAAAGTGAGTGTAAATATTTTATTGATGCAAACTGAATGCTACTGGCATGGCCATTCAAAAAAAATAGACATGTCAGTCAGAGACAAAAATGTGCTTCAATAACACAATAACGTACCGTTCGATAACACATAAAAACGATATGTTATTTATGATGGTCTTTTCGGTCCTACTTCTCTCTCTTGTGCTCATATTTTTGCTGTCCGAAGCTGAAATTTCGTGGCGAGAGATACATTAAAATTAAATGTGTATCGCAGTGGCGAGAAGAGAAAAAAACACGGAAGCAAAACCAAGAAAAGACTGTAAGAATATTACGGCAAAGTATTGAAGAGGGAAGCATGTTGAAAAAGGATCTTTTTTTTTCTTTCTCTCATTTGCTCACTCACGAAAGGATCGAACCGGCAGATAAAGCCGTTAAATAAATAAATAAATAGAAAAATCGTTGAAAGGCAATGAAAAAAAAACTGCATACGAATCAAAGATAACAAAAAAATAAATACTACCGGATATGGTTTTTCTTCTTTGAACTAGGGTTTAACGAGTTTTCCTTCATGTACTTTTGCATGGTTTTTTTCTTTCAGCAGAGGAAGGGGGGTTTACATGCGACCAATAATATCGCTTTAACATTACATTTTTTTTTCTATCATTTTGCTGACATAATCACGGGCAACTTCGGCAGAGACATTTTATCCAAGATAGCTGGATATTTTTATTTCTTCATATTCTTTTTCGTTTTGTTTTTTTTTTCTTAATATTTTAAAGCTACTTTATATGCGTTCAACGTACTGCTCTCCATAAAACAGTGTGTGATTGTGTGCTGCCGCAGCATATACAAATTTTTCATTGGATGGTACATTATATCTTGGTGGAAATGGGAGTGAGTGAGCAAGAAAAAAAAGAGAAATGTTTTACGATGACTGCATTTCTTACAGCGGTCGAAAAACGATTTCATTATGCATAAACTAGCAGCCAGCAAGTGTCCGCAAGGATTACTTATGATCATCAAATTAGTATATTTCGTGAATTCTGCAGACTGTGCAAATGTCCCTTTTTCCCATCAATACACCAAAACAAGAATAAAAAAAGAAATGTGTATAATGCACCATACAAAAATCCAAAATGTATCGTACTTTAAACAAAATAAGACATTTAGATATATATATTTCCCTTGTTATTGTATTCATAAAGTATTGAAATAGAATTTTAACTGATTTCTTTCTCTTTCTCGTTATTTCGAATTGCAGTATGGTTCAGATGAATTCCCACATGACAGTCCTGTAGGTAGCACGAGATATGCATCGCCAAAAGCGGGCGGTGCGCTATATCAACCAGAACAGTACTTCGATTCCACTAGCGGAACATGGTATTCATCTCCATCGAGCGCATATGCGCCACAATCATCAGCTTCTACGTATCATCACATCTCACCTCATTTAGGGCCGCCTCATGGACACGATCACTATTCATTATCTCCAGGCGTTACACACGATGGCCATATACAGGTAACTACTATCACCATTTAATCTAGTCATTTTATAGCAAATTTCATTTGATTTTTCATTTTGTTGTTGTTGCTAAAAGAAACTTACATTTATTATCTATTTGAATAATATATTCAATTTGATCATTTGAATCAAATTGCAAATCCGTTGCAAATCAACGCATATTTTATGTTTAATTTTCGGTTTTTCGTTACTAAACACAAATTAACAGCAAACACTACCACCGATGAGCACGTTTCGTGGCACGGGCGTTTCAGCTCAAGCAGGCGCACCACATTCACCTGTAATGTACAATCAACAACTAGCGGCACATCATCCACATTCACAACATAGTCCGGCTATTCAAAATGATACAATTGTTGGCAAAGCAATGCAAACCATGTTCACATCGACAGAAATGTTTACGCCGACAGTAAGTCAAATCTTTGTGCAGTTTTTTTGGTGCTTACTCGCACACAATCACTCATGATTAACATATATTTTCTTTGGAATAGGGGACAGACCAAATAATGGCACCATCACCTACACGAACACCTGTCACAGCACATCCATCAACACCTGTAAATTCACCACCGCCAATAACATCGCAATCCCAACCACCAACCGCTCCTCCAACGCAACAACAATCGTCTACATCAACGTGGCAACAATTAACGGTGAGTTTCTTTCAATTTCTCCAATCGTCAAATAATAACATCATCATCGTCGTAGTCATCATCGTATCTGTTCGTGATCATTTTTATGCTCGATTTTGACGAGAAGATTTTATGCACGCCGTGTCAATTATGAACAAATTAGTGAATTGTACTATGAATATATAAGTAAAACAAAAAATTTCGTTATTTGCAGTCTCCGCATCGCCTCGAGAACGGTTTGCAGAATGGCAGCTATCCATCCGAATTGGTTCCACGAGAACTGCACATGGTGAGTAATACAAATATATAAGGTTTTTGAGGATAGAGACACGATAAAAAAAACGAACGAACAACACACAATTCAACTCAACTCTACATTTCGCTTCACGGCTGATTGATTCATGTTCTGGGCTCTGTTTTATTTTATCATTTTTGTTTTGTTCCTTCTAATTCTGCTAAATGTTGTTTCAAAGCGCTACTCATTGATGTGTGTGGTTATAATTTTTTTTAAACTATTTTTTTTGCTATTTTGTGATGCCTCAAGTTATCAATTTCATTTCCATTTTGCTTCAATTTTCATCATCGATTCGTTGCGTGCGGTTGATTTTTTTTTATCATTGCAATGTCGAACCATTTCTTTATTTTTCTCATTTTTATTCGTTAATATTTTGTTTTTCCACTTGTTTAATAACTTGTTTTATGCATGCTTTTTGCATTTTCATTTTCTTTCTTTTATCGTTTGGTGGATGTTTAGGCTAATCTACCCGATTCACAGCCTGTAGATGATGCTATTGTTTTTCTAAGCAGTACAACCGTAAGTAACGCCGTACGCTAAAATTAATCAATAAAATGTTTTCCGTACTCTTTTTTTTATATAAAAAGCTTATTAATTTTCGTTCATTTCATTTGTTGTTTTTGTTCTTAAATTTTTCGTTGGTATCTCTTTTGTGTACTCGACTAACAAATGTCGTTTGATTCATTCATAAAAGACAATTTTCTAACATATTCATGCTAATGACATATTTATTTGGAGCATATATTAAATGCAGCAATATGGAATTTTTGTGATTGATTCATTTTTTTAATAAAATCGAATATAAATTGTTTATTTGCAGCAACAAACAAAACTCGAAGAGAATGAATTAGATGATGCCATTTCCGTATTTCGTAATCATTGTGAACCTCATCCGCTGGGCATGCCACCGAATATGGACGGATCGTACGTTGGACCGTCACCACTTGTTAACTCAATCGGCCAAACACCTCAAGAAAATAATCCAACGAATGAACCGCCAACAACGATTAAACTAGAACGTGTGCCAGCCAATTCAAGTGAGTTTTCATTTTTATTGCCCCAAAAACTACTAAATGTTTGAAGCTATCAAAAACAAGGAATCAATTTAAAAAAAAATATTCCAACTAAAAAAACGCTGACCAAATATGAATGAAATTAATTGGACAATTTTCATTTGAAATTTCCAGAGAAGCGAAAGGAGCCACCAGATGTGGACACCAAGCCAAGCAGTAGCTCTGTAGATGGATCGAATAAGGGTGGCAAGCGAACAAGACGATAGTGAGTATTTCAAATTCGATTACCATCGTAAAATCTAAATAGAGAAAACGCCAGTAAACAGATGATTCTTAGTCGAAATTTTCTTTATTTTGATTTTCATTTTATTAGAAATTTTTTTCTCAATTTTTGTTTGAAAAAGCGAAAAAGGAAAAAAAAGCAACACGTAGTACAAGTAAATTCATTTCAATCCAGAATCTGTTTGAAATAAATTTCCATTAATTTAATATAATTACTTTAATCTGATCATTGAAATTTTCTTATTCCTCAAAAAAAAAAAAAAACAATCACCTCGTGAAAAAAAAACTTGATCATTTTCATGAACAATCCAAATCACGTTAGCTGCAATAGCACTGACGAAGGTGAAAATAATATAGATCCAACACACAAAGCCATAAGAGAAAAAGAACGACGTCAAGCTAACAACGTTAGAGAAAGGTATGTAACCACATTAAACCATGACACATTAAATTCTCCATTCGATTACGCATCCCAAAAACAAATTTGAAAAAACACTCACAAATAAAGTGAAAAAAAAAATCAAAATAAAATGATCTGGTACAGATGATGAGCACCAACATTTATACTCTTTGTTTATTCTTTTTTCCACTGTCAAATGTTTATTCCTATTGTATATTGCTATTTCTTCTTTCACCCATCTAATTGTATTTTGTTTATTGTAAAAGTTTCCTTATTACGCAAAAACTAGACACACGTATTTATTGTTGGAATTTAATTTTTATTGGGCCCGTTGCAGTGCACGCATTCAGCAATTTTAATTCACATTGTTCAGTTTTTTCCATTCTTATTGATTCAATGATTTCGGAACCAAAACATATCAGCGACTTCATTCTGTTTTTACAGTAACAGAAAGAAAAGAGACAGAGTCGATTTCGATGAGAGTCCATTGTGCGGAATATATTCAAATCATAGCAAAAAGTCAAGAGAGTTCGGACAAAACTTATTTCACAAATTCGTACAATCACAACGCACAAAACTGTGCTCATTCGAGGACAATGTATAGTTTTTCTCTTATGGCTTTCAAATTGACAAAAGAAATTGAAAAACAAAAAATTCACACAATGAACTGAATTCACATATCTTCTCGATGACTTAATCATTGTGTCAAACTTACACATCTATACAAACACACATAAAGATTTTTTTTTCCTTTTTTGACTTTTCTTTTATTCACTTAGCACCTAAGTGATGTTAGGGTCGTTTTGTTTTCATTTTCATGAATTTTCCATCGTTTTTTTCTTTTAAATTAAAATTTCATTTGTCTCTTTTCATAATTTTTGTGTGAATTTTTATTTATTGGTTTTAATTATGTCATTTTATCATATGAAACAAAAAAACAATTTCCTAACCCAGTAAAATATCGCGCAGTTGTTCAAGCGAAGGTGAAGATGATGAGGAACCTGCCATTAAAGCACAAAGAGAACGGGAGCGACGTCAAGCCAATAATGCTAGAGAAAGGTATCTATCTTTGCTCATTATTGTGTTTTCTAAACGCTGTTTGTTTCTGTTGTGTTTTCATACATTCACATGTACACACCCCACACACACACACATACGATCACATACAAATTTGTTTTTTTGTTATCATTTTAATTTTGCATTTAACGTGTAAAAAAAATTCTCGCTTACATGCGATTCGCAATCATAATTTGTTTGATATTCTGATTAAACACTGTACAATATTTTTACATGTTTTACATTTTATGTCGTTGTTTTTTGTACATTTGCTAAACCCATTTGCTAATACGAGAATGATTCATGTTACTGTACTTTGTCAATTGTCTATGTTTCGAGAAAAAAAATTAACCAATTTCACTACAGGCCCGAATAAATAATTGTATATATACATTTGAATTTGATCATGGAAAATGGATTCAATGTTTGCCGCACTGCATTTGATACCATTTCAAAATTGAAATCTAACATTTATTCAAAATAAAAACCAAAAAAAATCGAAAGAGTAAAATGTCGAATGCTTAAACTAACACCAATCATCTATGCTTTATCATTTTATCACTGACTGATACACATCATCTACACTCACACATGTACACCTTTAACCATTTGCCATTTTATTACGTCCCGCAACAAATGTCTATTTGCACGAACACTTGCAAAAAACAAATCATTTTTTAATCAAATCGCTCAATTTTTCATTCAATCGTAAAGAATACGGATCCGAGATATAAATGAAGCGCTTAAGGAGCTTGGTCGAATGTGTAGCACACACCTGAAGTCCGACAAACCACAAACTAAATTGGGAATACTTAACATGGCTGTTGAAGTGATTATGACGCTCGAGCAGCAAGTTAGAGGTAATTTTGTTTGTTTTTTTTTCTCTGTATTTTCAATTTGTTTCGTCACTACAAATCGAAACTACGTTTTTTTTTTCTTATTTCTTTTTTGCCGTTCAATCTTATAGAACGTAACCTTAATCCAAAAGCAGCTTGTCTGAAACGACGAGAAGAGGAAAAAGCTGAAGATGGTCCAAAGTTACCTCAACATCACATGCTTTCAAATGCCCCCTATCCAGCGATGCCTGTGAGTAATATTCAGTTCGATTTCTGAATCGAAAATCATGCTGGATCTGCAACGAGAGTCCACAACAATGGCTTGCTATTGGGACAACAATTTAGATTAAATTTTATGAAGACTATGTAAATTTTGAAATAAGCAACATGAGAAGGGAAAAAAAACCAACCATGCAGGAAGAGAAGAACATCAGACACACAATATTGTGAATGAAAACAAAAATAATAATATTAATACGGAAATCAGACAAAATTTAACTCAAGTTTTGAAAATGAAAAAATTCGATACACATCAAAAAGAAGATTGAATGAAAATACTATATCTTTACTTATGTATTAATAACGCTATCAGTCTCTAAAGCGAAAGAAGCCTATATCATATTAAAAAAAAAAAAACAAAAACAAATAGTATTAAACAATTTATTTAGAAAGTGAGGATCCTTATGGATAGAGTCAATGAAATTCATTGGAATCTTTAATTTCTCTCTTCTCTCTCTCTCTATCTCGTTTCAATTATTTCATATGGCATGCGGTTGATGTTGAGACAAACAACACTGAAACGCATAAACGATTTTTTTTTCAGTTAATTTGGCCACAATTTTTCTATTTTCTCAAAAATCACGACATTTCTGAGCATTGTTTTCCTTAAATCGCCTTCTTATCGCTGCGATGAAAAATATAGCAAATTTTCAAACCAAACACACACACACACATTCAACGCATTATTTTACACTCAATTTAATTGTTTAACAACGTTTTCATTTGTACTCAATTTTCTTTGAAAACAAACAAACCATATAGCATATTTTCTTCGTAACAGTTTTACCTTTTTTTGTGCTTAAATATATATGACTGTGATAATTGCGGGGAGATACAAAACAGAAACAACAAACCATTCAACCATAAATCATCATCTCAGAAATAAAAAGAAATGAAGAAAAAAGAAACCAAATCGTAAATGTCTTGAATAGATGATGAAGAGACAATAATATCGTTCTCATCAAGCTGCTTATCTTTCATTGTGGCGATAAATGGCAACTTATAAATTAAAAAAATGTCACTCGAAGAACAACTATGTAAAATCTAGCACTATCATTTGTTTTTCATCGTTACAACAATTGTACAATTTCAATGTACAAACAATAACAACTAAAAATGTTCTTAATGTACAAAACTCGATTGAAAAGAAATGCATCAGCCCCGTGTATTATCAATGGCTCAATAAGTAAAGAAAAAAGAAATCAAATACAAAGAAATAGTCTTTCTTAAGCCATTAGAAACATATTACCAATACCAATGGTAAGGAAGAGACCATACGCTCTTCTATTTTTTTAAATAAATTCTTTTAATTAACGCTCACTCTTTTTCTCTGTAGTGCCATTTAAAAGCCATAATCGTATTATCGTTTGTTTTGTTCATTTTTATATCATTTTCCTTTCCTTTTGTTTTAAATTTTGCGTGACAATGATATGAGGGTGAAAAACGCACGCATCAAAATTGGTATATCGCTAAATAAAGTTAGTTGAGAATAATAACCGAAAAAAAGAGAAAAAAAATTACAAAAAAATAAGGCTAAGACAAACGAATGTGACCATGAACTAACTATGAGAAGATAGAGAGGAAAAAGATAAAAAATAAAACTAATATTAAAGAAATGGAAAAAAAAAACACACACACACACTATTTACATTCAAGCTGAATGCAATGTAAATGACTTAGTAGAAAAAGTGGTGAGACAAAATACAAGTTATAGAGTTACATGTGTAAGGAAATGATTATAAATAAGTACTAAGTATTATCAGTTCGGTATACGCGTGTAGGCCGACAGCTTGAAATAGGGGAGGTGATCCAGAATAAAATTACATTTAAAATAACAGCAACAACAACAACAACAAAAAACCCATTTAAAACAAAACACACTGGACAACAAATAAAATATAATGACTAAATGGATTGTACACATAAATTAATATTTTAATAGCAATTAATTATTTAAAAGAAATTAGAAGAAGATGGAAACTGATGAAGAAGAGAGAGAAAAAAACAAATAACCGAAAAAATAGGCGCAAAACATTTGAGGGATGTGAAGAATGAGAATGTAAAAGACAGACACTATTTTTTATACAAAAGAAAAACATGAAAAAAAATCAAGAGAAAAAAGAGCAAATTTGAACATAACAAAGCATTAAGGAATTCTGAATAGAGGATATTGTATTTAAAAAAATGAATTGTAGTTTAGACTAATATGACAGGACAATAGTATTTTTTGACTACTTTCATATATGATTTCTGTATGAACTATGCTGCAATCTTCCCACCACCCTCGCCCTCTTGTTCAATACACAAATGTAATTGATTACAATAGAAAACAAGCAAATTCAATCGAAAACCATGTCTCTAATAGCGGATATGAAAGTTGCCTATTACGATGCCGAAGCGAATTTCCCCACCATATTCTCTTTTTTTTGGATTTTTTCTTCTCTATTTTGATAGGCCTCATTTCGCAAAATTAATTAGACTTTTCTAACGTCTCTCATATTTAATTTTAATAATTGAAGGTAAAAAAAAGAGGTCCGTTTGCCAATAAATCGTCGTGCCACTTTCCATTTTAATTTAATTTCATTCCAATGTTAATTTTTCTTTTAGTTTTTTAAAACATGGAATCCGTTGAACTTTTTCTTCTTCTTCTTCTTTCAATTTTATTCACTTTTTTTTATTCGTCGGATTTTCACAGTCAAGAGAAAATCACATTTTATCTGATTTAATTATACTTAATGCAAACTAGTACTTCAATCGACACAACAATAATATCATTTACATTGATCTATTGATTCTCTCTACTTCAATTTTACTCGATATAACTCTATAGCAATTCAATATATATATTTTTTAATTTTTTTCTTCGAATCTTTCTTTTTTTTCTGTTAATAGATATTAAGTATTATATTTAAAATAGCTGAAATAATTTGTACATAATTTCGTCAAATATGAATTCGAAATGTTCTCTACAAGATTGAAATTTATATATATATATATATCGTTCATACAAGACATATGTATATATATATTTTGGGTTAAAAAAATCGCACCAGATACTTACCAATGTTTTCTGTTTAGCTATTTTTTTTCTTTCTTTTTAAAACACTGTATTCGGGATACGCAACTTTTAGCCAAAAATATTTCACATTCTGTTTGAAGAAAAATCTTTTTAATGTGACATGATTTATGCACTTGATAAAATTATTTCAAAAACTAGAGAAATAATTGAAAGCAACGACAAAACAGATCAATGATGATTTTCGGTGTTTCAATTAATAGTAAAAAAAAGTATCGTTTTTATTGAAAAAAACTCATTTACTCATGAAAAATCGAGAACGATCATTGACTTTCGAAGAAAAGAAATCACTTGCATTCAAAAGAATACGAATATACCAAATAGATACAGAATTGTAAAATATTTTTTTTGTTCATTTCTCAAGACACTGTCCATGCTAAAATAGTTGAGTGTGTGAAATACACTTATATCGGTGAGATCTCTGCGTATATTCAATTTAAAACACTGCATATCAAATCAGCACCACGAATTAAAGAAAACAATTAAATTTCATTTGAACACACGAATTTGTGCTTTGAGTCTAAATGTTGGTTGCATTTCAATTTATCATAAATAGTCAATTGGAAATTATGACATACACATTTAGTCTTCGATCACTTTCGGTACAACGAAAATCACTATTACGTTTATTTGATTTAATATATAAACTATGGATATTTTCAATGTTGGCTTGATTTACAATTGTAGTCGATATTTTTTTCATTCATTTTAACTTGCCGAATTGTACACAATGGCTAAACATTTGAAAATGATAATTTGTATAATTTTTTTTTAGTTAAAACATGTTTAAAATAAGTGAGAAAAAACTGCATTTCATTTATACATACACTTTTTTTATTTGACGAAAATAAATGCTATACTCGCTTCAGTAGCGAAATGAGAGAGAACTACCACACACACACATACACATAAATATTAAATTCCATTAATTTTTTTTTCACATTGCAAACAAATGTATTTATTTTGCTCGATAAGAATACTTCTTGCCAATTGGATGCAATTCTATTCTAACAAAATGAGAGGAAAAGAAAAATTGAAGAAAAAGAGAGAAACAAGAAAAAAACAATGAATATAAGAAATAAGTTATAGTTCATGTATCAACAAGAAACGAAGAGAAAATTATTTGATTGAAAAAGAGAATATTGTCAGTGATACAAAGTGATTGATCGAGAAAATGTCAGAATCGATTAATTGCCAGTCCAGCTCGAAAAATGGTCATTGTTTTTTTTAATGTAAGCGGTGTCATTGAGCGGTGCAAATTGAATGTGCTTCATAAATAGTATACGTACTAACTTTCCTACTTTTTCTCAGTTTCATCGAACTCCTATATCGTTTTCTATCCATTTAAATATTGTCCACTGATTGGAGAAAACAAAATCACAATGACAATGTATGAATATTATTTACGAATCCGCACACCACATATTTACACATCTTTAATTTCTGATTATTTTTTTTATGACACACACATGCATAGTATTCAAGACCCGAATTTGTATAAGAGAATTAGAAAAAAACGCCTTTTTTGTTTAGATTTTTATCACTATTATTTTTTAACGATTTATTCTTCTCCTTTTATTTTATTTTATTAGTACATTTTTTTTTAGTTTTTATTTTTAATGGATAAAACGAATGAAAAAGAAAAAAACACATCAAAAAATTTAGGATATAATTATGATAAATGAATAGTTTACAAAAACAACAACAACAACAAAAAAAAAACAATAAAGCATATTATTGAAGTTTGTCAAGTTCATTAAATTCGCTTCTGTGTTTTCTTTCTTTGATTTTGCTCGATGATAACGTTTGCTTTAGATTGTTCTGTTGACGTTATCGTTTTTTTTTTGTTTTTATTTTATTTTTTAATTTACATTGCATCGCTGCACATGAGTTCCAGGCTTAGAAAATAGCGTTATCACCAAACCTAATGTCTTCATTCTGAACTGTCTTCATTCACAACCAAAACCAGCAGCAATTTGATGTGTGATCGCACACATTTATTACAGTTCATACATTATTGATGTATGGTCGCACATTCGAGTGTTTAAATCAGCAAAATTATTATGATTATTATTTTTTTTGGTCGATTTTCTGCGAAAAGGTAACAAACATTGATAAATGAATTTCCATAATGCCAAACGTCACTTCAAATTGCTATCATCCTCGTTTTGTTTGTAATAAACTCTATAAATACTGTATATAAATTTATATGACAAATCCTATTCTATCTATCCTTTTGATTAAGTAAGTCTCATCATTCCTATTTTCCATTTAGTTTAAATGACACAATTGATGTTAAAATTGTAATTTTAATGAGGTGATTACATTTAGAGATCAATTATCAATATTCTATCTGAGAATGAATGAATGAAAATAATAAAAAGATGAAATATTTAACCTACCATTACACTTGTTTTTAAAAACAACCACATAGAATGATACAATATGGCAACACATCACATCCACGCGTATCAGATGAATGAAGCTATGGTGTTGGCGCTAAATCAAATAAAACCTCAGATTTGTGAAATAATCCAGCGCTCGTATCCATACTACTAATTCTAAGCATTCGGATACGAAATAACAAATTTTTAATAAAAAAAAAAAACGAAACAACAAATTAACACTGAAATTGTCAATTCCAAAAAAATTGACCATATTCACGACAAAATTCGAGATGAAAACACACAAACATATATGAAATGGTAAATTATTGATATTGAATATGGTATAAATAAATAATTTTATTATGATTTGTGAGAAATATCAGAGACAGAGAGAGATACAACAAATTGTGAAGCGTATAAATAATAAAAATTCAGATAAAGAAAAATCTATTATTAAAATAAATGTGCCATTTTCCATAAATTTGCCATTGCTTATTTTCATTTAACGATGTCAATGCTAAACTTTGGAAAATCAAGATCATTTCCATTTATTTTTTTATTTGTTGGACTAAGGTGAGTACGAAACTTTAGTGATTAAATTTGAAATTTCCATTGTTGAATACATTATTTGAGGGGTTCCGAGGAAAAAATTTACGTAGAAAAGTTCCGCGGAAAAATGTTCGGGAACTAAATGATATCATTTAGCAAAGCTAATTGGTACCAAATAGCTCAACTAAAGTTATTAGACATTTTGCGATGCTCTTGTGTTTTTCGAGTTGCTCAACTTTATTATTTATATTCATGATTTCATTTTTATATGTGAGTACGATGCTAAATAATTTTGAAACCAAATTGTATAACAACATATATGTTCATAATGGGAAGTAAATTTGCGAGAGAAGAAAGCGAATATTTTATAAAAGACTACTGCAGTTATCAATTTCATTTCCATTTTGCTTCAATTTTCATCATTTTTTCGATCATTGCAACATTGAACCATGATGCATGCTTTTTGCATTTTCATTTTCTTTCTTTTATCGTTTGGTGGATGTTTAGGCTAATCTACCCGATTCACAGCCTGTAGATGATGATATTGTTTTTCTAAGCAGTATATCCGTAAGCAACGCCGTCTGCTACACTTAATCAAAAATAAATGTATTCCGTACTCTTTTTATTAAAGAGCTTATTAATTTTCGTTCATTTCATTTGTTGTTTTTTCTTAAATTTTTCGTTGGTTATTTATTTAGAGCACATATTGTAGTGAGTGTAAGACTGACAATTTATTAGAAAACATTAAATACATTGGATACTTGATAACTGTAGTAAATCCATAGGCTACTCAATATCTTCCCTCTTAAGATTTGAATTTTACTCAACATAAAATTGATTATATGATTAAATATTGTTTGTGGAATGAACGTGAAACGTGAAACTCCGATAAATAATCTAATTAAATAATTTAAAACACCTTAAGTTGAGTTCACAATATGAAGAAATTTATTTGATGAACTTCTAAAAAACTTTTGTTTGCATTTTGACAAAGTTTATGTGTCATCTTCAGCAACACGCAAAAGAGAACAAAGAGAAGAAGTATATGCGACAACGGAGTCGGTGTTATGACTAAAGTGATTTGTATACAATGTAAATGCGTAACGCTATGAAAAAATGAGGTGCACAATACAATCAAACATATTTGAAGAGATCAGTGTCTATGTTGCCGTTATCTCTAGGGGCTTTTATGATACAAAATATACACAATATGCCCGTCTTATTCATCATATATGCGAATATATACGGCATAAATCTGCACCGAATTATACGTATTTTATACTGACATTGTACACACACATTTTATAGCTTTATCGTCTCGTTGTATGTAATAGAATTCGTATGCGTCTATACGATTTGGTTCGTTTACTTGTTTGAGTAGCTCAACTTAAGGTGTTTTAAATTATTTAATTAGATTATGATTATATGATTTTTTTCCATAAATTAAATGCATCAAATAGGTCGATTCCAAAAAGGTTGAGATCTTCATTATCTGTTTCATAAAGCGTTTTACAATGTGTTTGATCATTAAGTGTAACACAGCACCTATGCAACCGTATAAGGTCCTTGTTGCATATCAGTAGTATGTTTAGTTAGGAATTTTTGATTCTACTCGAATCAGATGATTATGAGGAAGGATAATTCACGTCAAAGACATCTAGCAAAAATCCTTTCTGAATTCTAACCCAACACCCCTTCTCATAGCATCCTATTATTGTAGCACAAATGCAAGACCAAACTCGTATCAAATAAATTAATCCATCGTATTACGAATTATTTTGTGATTGGTTTGAATAATAAAAATGTTAAATGCAGTAACAACACAAGCATTTTGAAGGTTGTTTTGAAATGTTTTGGCGTTGGTTATCGAATTTTTCAGCCTTGCTGCGATAATTGCTGATCAATCATTGCATACTTTCAATCGAATCCCATGATCATCAAAATTGTTTTGTTTTGAAACGTTGTTTATTGAAAAGGCTTAATCGTATGAAAATGATAGAATTGCGCAATCGATTTTATGGGATTTATGAGGTTCGATAGAAAAAATTCAAACGAAAATCTGATTGAACTGGAGTAATTATTGTACTATAAAAATCGTTTCAAATGAATAAATATTTCAAAAAATTATATTTACTAAACATATGATAATTAAACCACAGTGAATGTTTACGATTCTTGCTGCAGTAATTTCTGCAACTGTAGTTCAATTAAGTTTACCCTTTATTCTTCGAATTGAACCACGTATTCCACAGAAATCGTTTATGAACATTCTACAATTGTCGGTCGATCAAACCAGAAACGTATTGTGATTTGTGAGTCATTACCAATCGAGTGAAATGGATGGTTATAATCGTTTTATGAAAATAATTTTCGGATGGGAGCGAAATTTGTTGACGTTAGTTGGTCATGATTTTCTTTGTGAAAAGTTAAAATTCTCAACAAGAACTGCTATTACTTATATTGATTTAGCCATATGCATTATTGCTGAAATGTATACCCTTATATATCGTGATCCATCAATAAAAGCACAAACTTTTCTTCTTTCTGCTGTTACGGTGCAGGTATTTTACATTAATATTTCATTTCATATTTGATAGAAATACGAAATATTTTAACAAAGACCAATCACAATTTAGGGTACTGTAAAAGTGTATGTGGCTCGATATTTTAGCAATGATCCAAGATGGCTCATTCGATCTACAGAGAATTTATACAAAATTCATATTAAAAGTGAATCAAGTGAACGAATTCAGTTTTTTAACATGTTTGGATTCATCACAGAATTGTTGTTTAAAGCTATGTCCGTTATGTACTCTCTGTCACTGCTTACGTTTCTCATATATCCAATATACATCGACCGGTTACGTTGAATTACTTACCATCCATATAGTTTGTTTCTTTCTAGCAACGCTAGGCACTTTGGCAGCCGATTTCTTTGTGACGATCATATTCATCAATTCGCAAATTTTTGTTTAACTAATTTCACTCGATATAAAACAAATCAACGCCGAATTGGATGAAAAGGAACCCGAAATTTTTATTAGAGCTCGTTTCAGAAATATATTGCAAATGCATCAGGAAATGACCGAGTAAAATTAACTTTTTTCATTATTTCTATTCAAATTTTGAATATTTTTCGTTTTTATCTTAATTAGATACGTGAAACGTGTTGAAGTGATTACATTTGAGATTATTTCTATTCGAATTTTAAGTGCTATCTACTGTTCCATAATCGCATTGTATTTTATTCTAGTAGTAAATGCTTTTTTACAACAATCTGAAATTCAGTCTCTGAATTGAAATCAATTTTTATAGACGAGAATTTTTTACACCTACAGCATGCTGAGTTTGGCACTTTATCAAATATTTTTTGCTTGTCTGATTGGAACTATTGTCGAATCAACCGTAAAATGATTTTTTTTTATTTTAATTTTCAAAAAATGAAAATTTTGGGTTTTCACTCGACCTTCGAGAATTTGAGTGTGAATGGACAATATTTGCAACAAGCAGTCCTTTTCAGAACGAACGAGTTTACGATGCAGCCCTGAATATGAATTGGAATAAACTGCCATTCAAGGAGCAGCGCATATACCTATCGTTCATCCAACGCTGCCAAAATCCAATATTTTTTCGAATTTGTGGACTCTATCCTCTTAACTTGGATACATGCGTTACGGTTTGTCTAAAAATCGTGTTTTCTTTTTTTTTAACTTAAACATTTATTTGCAGATTTTCAAGAAAATATATTCTGTCACAATGATCATTCATACAATGCTGGGCGAATGTGCAGAACACAATTTGAGATTTTCATTTCGAATTGATAACGTTAATTAGCTTTTATTTCTTGTTTATTTGTAGAAATAAATGATTGAGAAAATATATTCTATGTTTTCTCAACTGAAGACACGAGAAACAATGGTCCAGCGTGTTATTAAACACTCGTTATTAAATAATCGTTACATAAAAAATGCTTTTGTCAAAATGTCAAAAAATCACTTTTACTCAATCTTGAATGAGCGCCCACGGTTCGTTCTGCATGTTTTCGACAATGGCTTGAGATATGATGTTGGTTACATCGAATGTTCTTCCTTCGGAATGAATTGATGGTAAATCTTCGCGTAAATCGATATCAACGATTTTTGCGTTATTATTGGTATTGGCTAATTTCTGCTTATGTTCGGTTTTTACTTTGTCAAAACTCTTTAAAAAACTTCGTGTTACATCGTTTACCATTCTACTATCAAGAATTTCTGCAAAATAAACGCAATGCTATTTTATATAGAAATAAATTAACAATAATAAACTCTCAATTTACCCAGACTTTTCGATGCCAAGATGACTTTGTTTCTATAATAAATATCGTTCATTTGAGCTGGACAATTGGTAAAAATGGCTTTTGTTAAATATCCCAAATGTTCTATCGAACGGGCAATATAGTCGCCATTATCAAAATTATTATCGGCTGCCGAAAGCTCCTCCAAGTGTGGAAGTGTTTTCAAAAGTTTCAGTTCGTTCAGTCTCAATCCGCTTATATTCAGTATACGAAGCGATGCCTAATTTATGAGATATAAAAAAAACTTATGATACCAATACAATCACGAAATGTTTATACCTACCGAAATCCCAATCAAACTATTCACACCGAATGTAAATTCATGCTGTGATTGTAAATTCTGATATTCCAAATGTAATTCTTCCAGAAGATTTAAATTATCCACACCGTCGAGACATTCAATTTCATTGTAGCTCAAATACAATTTTCGTAGATTTTGCAGATGATTTATATTTTCGATTTTCCGTATGCGATTCCATTGTAAATACAAATGTGTTAGATGATGCAATTGATCAAGATTTGCAATTTTTTGAATCGAATTATTGTGCAAATAGAGCACCTTCAGCTGTTCGCACGTCAATTCACCCTAAAATATACAGATCAAATCGAAAATAAAAAAAACAGTTGTAAAATAACGTTCGAACTTCCAATTTAAAGCCGTTGACGTACAATTTCTTCAAGCTTACGACCGTTCAAATAAAGATGTGTTAATTTTTTAATGATTTCATCTTTGCTTTTCTTTGGATTTTTTTGAAAAATTTTGTGACAAAAACGCTCAACAAATGTATTGGACATGTTTGATAATTCAAGACAATCGTTACATTATATGCAGTTTTCAATCATCGATCAAACAATTACGGTTCAATGGTAACGCATTTAAATTGACAATTAGAGCATAATTTAAGTAGATAATTTGATATTCAAAGAACGGAATGCATGAATACAATGCTTGTATTGAAAATGAATTTAACCATTGCTTGTATTGAAAAAACAAAGAGAAGTGATTTCATATCCATTTTCCACTTGTTCCTCAAGTGCATTCATATATCTATCTTACACTGGTTTGTATTGGAATGTCAAAAGATGTCGCTGTAATGTTGAAATCGCCGCGATTTCAATTGTCACATGAAATTGCAGCGATATGACGATTCGATAGTAACGCATTCTCGTGGTATCGTTACAAGATACGAAATGTTGGTTCATCATGTTAAAGTCATTTACAGTGCTATCTCGCAGTTTGCATTGTGGCGTGTATTGAAATGAGCAATAACACGGCCAGGCAAATATTTCATTTGTTGTAAATTGCATGAATATTGATTTTAAACGTCAAATTCCGAATCGGTAACACACGGGATACACACGGGCTAAAAGCAAAGTAAAAAGAAAAAGAGAAAAAAAAATCGAAACGACCACGACGAGAGTGAGTGAATGAGTGAGTGGAATGAAAATAAAAGAATGTTATAATAAATGAAAATTATCGTAAATTTAGTCGTGTTGAGGGTCATTAACTCAATCCATCCGCAGACCCCACGAAGGAGAAAAATTCCATTCAAAAAGTCAAATCCATAAATTCACTCGACGAATAAAAAAGGTGAATCAATGCGAAAAGTGTGTGTGAATAGAAAAGAAAAAAAAGTATCAAGAAATTTATCCAATGATTTCGCGTAAGCCTTCCGTGTAATGTATGTTTGTGTTTTGGGCTTGCTTTCGTTTTCGTTATTATTTGTCGTCGTTGTTGAATCGGTTGTACGCTCTCATTTCAATGATAGCTTATAATCGAGAATGAAAACAGAATTTTTTTATCTAAATTCAGAAGAAAAAATATTAAAAGCTATTATTTAGCAACAGACGCAAGTGTAAATTGTGAACGCAAGTGAGAGAGTGTGTTGGTTTCACGATATGATTTTCTCTCTCTCTTTCTCTCTCCCAATTTCTTTTTTCTCTGGAGAAAAATCATGTAATAATAAATTGAATGTGCGAGAATCGCGTCATTGTTGGATGGCCACATTTTTGAACATTTAGCTTCAATCATATGGTCTACGTACATCATTTATAGTGAATTAAAAAAAAAGAAATTCAATTCGTTTGCTATTGACCATTCAAAAAACCGTGCGCGCTCTCTCATATCAGACATAGTGACAGAAAACTATTGCAAATATTTTCTTGTATTGCTGATACATGAAAACACATAAATCGCATAGTGGACTTCAACCATAAAGTGATCGGCACACATTAATTCCCGGATTATATGCATTTCTCTCACATCGTCTGCGGGGCCGTGCACATAAACATTCCTGCTGGATTTAGAAGCTTGACTCATATCGTCTAATATTTTTTTTCTCTATTCATTTCAGTGCAACTGAGTGTGTGTGTTTGGTGAAGTGAAGTTAGTACGTGTAGGTGTATGCGTAGACATGTTCTCTTGAATTTACAAAAAAAAATATTGATGTGTGTTGATTACACATGCTTACAAATACCATAAAAGTGTGTATATTTTTTGTTTCTTAAAATTTTATAACATTCTATGAATTTGGATTGGAATAATTCAGTCATCCTTATTCAACTGCAATAATAATCATTTTTATAACATCAACAACCACAACAATTTAAGTGAAATATAAAACAAAGAATTAGTGGGCTAGTTTAGTGTATACAAGATAATTAATATAAAAAAAAACCAACCACAACAACAACAAAATCAAGTTTCATATTATTTATCATACGCACACATGACGATTGCCTGTATCTCCATTCGAATAGATTTAAATTGCAGTAATTAAAGAAGGTATATTCAAAAATTCCATTCGGAGAGACGAAATGAATACGAAAACATTTGCCAATAATCGTAATTAAACGTGTAATTTCTATTTCAACCAAATAAAGGTATAGAAATGGCATCCGCCGAGGGAGCCGATTCAATTGAATTGGAATCAGTTTTTTCCAGTAAAAACCGGGACATTCATTCGAGTACATTGAAATCAACGAGCGGTACCGATGATGGTAAGCCAAGTGTTTTACAAATGAAAAGAAAAACAGCAACACTTAACATTATGCAAATTATTTGTTAAAACCAACGTCAAATGCCAAGAGCCAATCAGTGTAGAATCATTAATTATGTAAAATGAAAACTCCCAACCAGATGCATTGAACTCATCTTCATGTCATCAATACCGAAAATCAATTGAAATTATTATACTTATGAAGATTGTGCACTGCACACACATTTATTGCATTTGAAAGCAAAAAACAAACGAAGATATGTAATTGGCATGAGTTTCAAAGTTCCACCAACATGCGTCACGTTGTTTTTAAAATGTATGCAAGGGACTGTGCAAGCAAAAGAGACTATTCATTAAAATATAAATGGGTGGTTTTTTCCCTCCCAATCGATAAGGTTATAGTGAATCAGTGAAGTTCAATATTCAAGTCAACGGCATATGTATGAATCGTTTTATATTCGATTTGATATAAAAAAACAAGAAGAAGAGAACACAAAATGAAAACAAATAATACAGTCATCGTACGTCAAAGCAGGCCATTATCATGGCACCACCAGTAACAACAACAACAAAAACATAATGTAGATTCATCGCCCGAATTCAATTCATTAACCGATGGATACGTGTCATTGTTTTGTCTCTTCTATATACATTACTCACGCAGAGTATAATGCGATGCACACGACTAAAACACTTAAGTGATTTATTAGATTTACAACAGACACCCGACTCTATTTCTCTCTCTCTCTCTATCTTCCTTTTTCTCTCTATTTGTGTTTAATTATCGTCATTGCCTTGTGTTCTTCGCCATTTGAATTGGCACCATTTGTATCGCGTTTTTGTCCATGCGACGCTGAACTTTAAAAAGAATAACAACACACACAAACTCATATTCAATTCAATCGAAAAAGAATTGGCCGCACACTTAATTATTTTACTATTTTCTTTTCGCATCGAAAATAGCTCCAGACAAAGACCGAGAAAGAAAGAGACATACAGAACGAAAAAAAAAATGAAAATAAAATAGAGCAATTCAATCCGGCTGTTAGAGATAAACAATAAGCAATGCACTTTGCAACGTTCGCATTGAAAGCTCATTGAAGTGCCACTCATTTTATGAATATAATCTCGATGCAAGTTACGGACACAATTTTCTTTATATGAACCAAAAAAAAAATCTGATATTGAACTCGATTTTTTTTATCATCGTCAATTTCAAGCGAAAATGGTGCACACCAGATTCGCATACTTAATATTCTTGTGAATAAAACATGTGTGGTTGCAAATCTGATCATGAAGATATTTAAGCTTTTTAAAGTATGAAACAGAGAATAAGAGGAAGCAACACATTCGATTGTATCACCAAGCAAAAACAAATGATATCATCATCTCACCAAGTCAAGAAACGTGAAGTGAAAAAGTATAAAAAAAATAGAGAGAGATACATAAAGAGAGATAGTTACATACATTTAAGTGTAAAAACAGCACAGCATCACTAATTTCGATAAACAAGTACATCGAAATGAGATTCCATTGTTTAATAATCTGTAACAACGGTTTCTTGTCATGCTAATTTTTGTTTTGCCACCTTCTTCCGCTTTGTAAAGTCTATTTCGAGTTTCTGTCAAAAGGCCAAACTTCATGCACCTAACAGCTCAGTCTCTATTCATTTGAGAGAAAAAAATGGTATGCAATCACAAAATAACAACGTGAAATGACACACAAATGTGTTTGACATTAAATGATACTTGTGGCATTTGTCAATGCACTGTACAATGTACACACATATAATCCATTCATTATGTATGTATCGATACGCGTGACTCATAAAATTTCACAACACAATATGACAATTGTCATTTAAATGTTGAAAACGCATGCATATTTTAAATCGGTTGTTTATTTATGCTGTTGTTCTAATCGCAATTTACCATTGCCGCCGCGTCTCCGAATCATGGATTATGCATTAAACGATCCCATTATTTCCATACACAGACATTATCTCGGAAATGATTGCATCACATTCAAAAATGGATTGCTATCGGCGAGGGCATTTTATCAAAGCATTCGTATTGTTTGTTAAAGTTATCGAACTTATTGGATTTTTATTATTCACACGCTGACTATGACGTGAACTAGGGTTGAAAGCAAAAAAAAAAAACACAAACACAATTCACCACTTCACATTGTATCGTAAATAACACTAGAAATTCCAACGGTGTACCATTGGGTTTATTTGTGCAAAACTTGATGAAAAAAAAACTGAATATATATATAAATTATGGAATTTTATCGCGGTCATTCGTCACCAACGACAATGAAATACGATGAATTGATGATATCATACAGTACACACTTTTCAATCGCTTCCTTGTATGTGTCTCATGGTGTTCTTGTTGTTGTTCACTGTATGTGTATGCCATTTTTTTTTTGTCTCTTCTCTTTGATACATCACTACAGTTTAGTAAAATGTATTGAAAACTCAAGCTCATTGCTCTACATAAAATGATTTAGGTTCTTTTATGTGGTGTGTAATGAACAGTAATGTGCGAACTCATTTTTTTGAGGGGGGTAATTATCAAAACTTCATTTTATCGATTGTAAATTTCTTGCCAAATAATTGACGACCAAAAAAAGGTCCCGAAAAATCCCCAAAACTACATTCTAATGAGGGGATTTTGATTCCACTCGGACCGAAATTGATTACGAGTGCGCAAAATTTGGCTCAAAAAAATCCTACAAAATTGAAAAAATGGTAAAAAACTCTTAGTAATTTTAAGAAGGGGATAACAGCATTCCCCTTGCACATCACTAATTATAGAATAGTACACAATGCTCACAACAAATCTCAGCCAAAATTGATTTTTTTTAAACTCTGAGATTTTGAATATAAAAAAGAACGAGGTTGAATGGAACAATGTGCTAATCGGCATTGGTATTTGCTTGGTTTTGCAAATAAATGAAGCGCATAAATATTGTTTCGACATTGTTTCTTCAACTAATTTGTATGGTTTTCGTTCTTGTTTTTCTTTCTCGTTTTTCTTTTGCTCTTTTCTTTTTCTTTGTTGTTATTGTTGTTGTTGCAAAAAATAAAAATGTGAAATAACAAAATAATTTACAGATAAAGACAAAACGGAAAGTGGAGATGCCGCTACAACGCTCGAGGTAAGTGATTTTAATTGTATTTGTGTACGCAAAATTATATAGATTTTTCATTCGCTCTGATCGGTCGTCTTATTCAAAAAATGTAAATTTAATAAGCAAACACGAAAACGTGTGAAATAACAAACTTTTTCTTTGTCAAGTCAATCGTTTCGATGATTCCGTAGATGCATACACGCAAATCGAATATCGTTTTTACAGCTCCATGTTGTTTTTTCTGCTTTCCGATTCGATCATTTACTTTGCAAATAAATTTGCAAAATTTCGTTCATGCTCAGTCTTGATTGGACACTCTCATAATTCTTTAATCTATCTCTTTTCATCTTAATGCTTCGATTAAGAAAATTATGCGCCGACTTTGTTGAATTCGAAAATTGAATGGTCGTACATAAATCATTTTACTGAAATGTTTGAGGCGACCTAATGGCGCAGTGCGTGCTTGAATTGTATGAGCATGTACGCAATTTTTTTTTTCTTTTCGTTAATTTAAATATGTAAACAAATGATATAAGCACACAATATGTCAATGGTCAACAGCCCGAACCATACAGACAGCTATCCAACAATATAATCATGGAAATGCAAGTTGATTACTCGATTTTCGACAATTGATTTCGTCAGTTTGAAATAGCATTCCTCGACGTGATTCACTCGCTTCGCTTGTTTGTACACAAACGAAAAAAAGACAACACAAATTCATTGGACGCGCACAAATGTGCAAACACATATAGAAAACGACACAAAAAGACACAAAACGTTATACACATCCGCACACAATCAGCAAACTACATGACGTACTTGTCGTCTTACGACACAATAATACCAACAACAGCACAGAGTGAATGGCCATTGAAATTGCGGAATGAGATAGATAGAGAGAGAAAGAGAAAGACAGCAAAAGCAAAAAATATCAATAAGAAAAATTACAAATAAAATCAAAGCTACACTCTCTCAGCTGTGTGTGGAATAATAATAAATGGATGGCCGTGACAATTTTTACAGGCGAACTGCACCGCAAACTAAAACGGTCATACAATAAATTTACAATACATAGCTCAAATACTAATCGGTTGCCCTATCTCTTTTTCTCGAGCTGTAAAGAAGCAAACGAAGAAAAGGAACAGAAAAATAGGCAGAGCTAAGATTTAATGTCAATTCACTACACTTTTTTCGTTTGTAATTTGAGTTGTCATTTACTATGGGTATTTGCACTCTATGTTTTCAATGTATCGTTGTGTTCTTGTATCTTTGGCGTGCTGTTTTGTGATGGCCATGTGTGCTTTTGGTTTTCGTTTTACTTCTTACCATTAGAATGTAAATACGTTCGTAACCGTCATGAAATGCTTTCAGAATTTACTGCGCTCTCAAACAACACGGCCCAAGCCAAATAAATTTAAAATTATACAAGCACATATAATAAAAACCAGCACACATAATTGTGCACGATCCAAAAATATAAGAGCGAGAAAGAGAGAGAGTGAGAGAGAGAGAAGGACAATAGACAAAATGGCAATAAATGTATGTGAAAAGTCGAAAGCGTCTTCGAGACTCTCGAAAGCGATTTTCGCTAATTCATTTTGGAAAATACAAGCAAATAGGCGCATAAATAATTCGGTTTGACGGTTATTTTTTATGCAACTATATGGATATATGCGTGAATGTCCATAATACTCGGCAATGGCACGTAAATTGTATGGTAAATGGCAACGCATTCATATTTTATTTTCAAATTTGCAAGATGTCTGCACAGCAATTTTAAACTTTTTACTTACATGCAATGCAACCCTATTTCGACGACGGCGTCCTTTTCAGTTAAGGAAGTCAGAGTACATGAACATAAAAAAAGAAGTCAGTGGCTTTTTTCAAATTGCCATCCAGATATTCGAACTAAATTCAGTTCACTGCCGCCCACTGCGTTGCAATGCTTCTTTTTTCGTTTCGAATTTTTATGGCAATGCATCTTGAGCATATTTCTGGTGTTTGCTGAATCGAATGTTTCGAGAAGAAGAGGGGATATACGCAACGGATGCATACACACATAATTCACTTCTGAAAAAAAATGTCAATGTTACATTTGGATTTGTGCAGAAATTTTCCACTTTCGTAAGCCATCACCTGTCGAAATAAGCTCGTTCATTCATTCGTCTATATTAATAAAAAAAATGTTGTTGCTGTTGCTAAATGAGTTTCGTACTGTGCCCATTATTACGTCAGTTTGGCAAACCACATTAAATAAGTGTACATTAGGTTGCGTCTATTTGTAAATGAGACACACAAATAGTCACACCATTTGAGCCATTGCAAAATTAGTCTTGAATGCATCAAAACACGAAACAGTATACCCATAAAAAAACACCACATTTTTTTGGCAATGTCTACAAATCTAAAATGATTTGTTCGTTTAACTATTTCGTGTCTTATATTTTGGTTTCGAAAAAATTGCAGTTTCATTACAAATGTGAGTGTCATCAAACTGGAATTAATTTGCACGTAACACCAAATAAAAATGTAAATAGCTTCTATTTGATTGAAAAAGTAAGACTGAACAATGACGAAAGAGATGACATTATTTCATGTGCATTTCGCACCTCTGTTTTAACGAAAATTATTTATTCATAATTAATAAAAGCAATGTACGCCGCAACTATTTTTTTCTCCTCGCCACATGCGCAAAGCACTTTAATCAAATGGAACTTTTGCTAAAAATTCATACAGAAAAAATGTTAATCTTCTTCAAATATGTAAATGCACAATAGAATTGACACACGAAAAAAAGAAACACATGAGCGAATTTAATCCAAATGTTATGGAATCCTTCACATTCATTTCGAATTTGGTTTTTTTCCTCTCTTGATTTTCTTCAAATTCACTGAATAATTAATGAGACTCATTCCATTACCGATGTGTTTCCATTCATTAACATTTGAGGAGATAATTCGATATGAAAATGTTTGAATGTTAAAACAGTATAAATGTAATTCTCTTGACATTTTCTGTGCAAGTTCTACTTCGAACCTGTACGTAAATGGTTTAAAATTGTGATTTTCCTCATACCAAATGACAATGAATTTTATCATTATTTTAATGTGTTTGGTGGCGGTGTTTGATTTGGTGTTTGCATGTAATACAGATATATAAATTAAATTCAATGTTAAAAACTCGTTTATTGCCATTTCACATTCTCCGTAATATTTTCACAATTTGATTTTCTGTATTTTACTGTCGAAAGGTGCACCGAATGATTCAGTGAATGAACAATTACTTAATATTTCACAACTATTCAAGTCGGATCTATTCATTGAAGCGGTTAGTAAACAAATATTTAGAATCGAAAATGGTTCATTAATAAATTCAGCGGGACTTGATTTCAAACTGAGAACAAATGCAAAATAATTAAAACAAAACAGAAATGCCGATGCAGTTATTTTACTCTGAATCATCATGGACAGCTTCATGTATATGAAAAAATAATAACGCTTTCGGTATGACAGCATAGTTGTCGACATAAAATCATCATCATCAACATATCCGTATACAAAGTGTGAAACTTTTCGGCTTTGCGGCGTTTTCAAATGCGATTCAGTTTGTTCGATGTTATTTATTTATACACACATTTTATTTAAGATGCTAGCCGCAAATTCTTCTAAAAATTACAATATTTGTTTGTATTGTGAAAATATGTACACAAATGCCATACACCAAACCAAAACATTTTACTGAGACCGTTTTTCGCGTCAGATTTGTCTACATCGCATTGAAACGTATTGTCGCTTTTTTTATGCACCGCAGCAACCATTTCTTTTATGGCATTTCAATGATACAATTTGCTTAATAATCAATTTGAAATCATATCGAAATAAACAATTGAACACGTAGCCCATGTGTGCATGTGATTTTGATCTGTTATGAGAAAGAGCGAGAGAGAAAAACAAAAAATTCCATTTTTCTTCAACGATTCATTTTTTTTAAGCATTATTTCGAATAAACACGGGTGCGCATCACATATTTCGTATAATTTAGTATTAAATAAGATTGTCAACGATATGCTTCGGCTAATTCACACGCCGTTTCATTCTTCACAGTGATCGTACCCAACATATTTTCATTCGTGCGTTTTTCAGTCGAATTTGACAACGAAAGAAAAACATCCGAAAATGTTCTGTCTATTTTCGAATAATTTTTTTAATAAATCGATCACCGTAAGTTAAAAATTTGCGTGTATTTGTAGGCCATTTGACGGTGTGTACGTGAAATCAGTGCCATTTTTTAAATAAGTGAAAATGATTTGAAAATGTCTCATGTCAAAATCTTAATTAGTTTTGGTTTGCTTGCTTTGAGAGTCTTTATATATTATTCCAAATTCCAAGCTTTGTGTGAGCACACAAGATACACGACATAAAATTAAGTGGAACGTGTGTGCACCACGTTTATATATAATGCAAAAATAGTTCGTCCAAGAAAAAAAAACACTAACGTTTGCTTTTCTTCACTCTTGTTGATTTTTCCTATTTCTGTGTATCCTACACACTCTCTCTGTAATAGTCATGCATGTCAGGGCTGTGCAGTGATTTTTCCCGAAAGCATCACACACGATAATTTTCATTCCCTCTTCATGAAAAAGTAATGATTTTGAATAGCGAAAAATCACGTCAACCGTAGATTTGCTTTTCTAACAACAACTTGTGCAAATTCACTCAATCCAACGAGTACATTTTTTTTATTTCATTCAATAAATTGAATTGTTGTTTTTTTTTTTGTCATCTATTAATTTACGTTTGGTGTATATAATTTCGGAAATTGTTGTTGATTGATTGTTTTGAAAAATTCGTTGAACAAAAGTGGACCATTTGTGTGCAGTTATTATAGTGATAAATGAGTGTAGTTAGATTAAAACTGATTACAATTGAATGTCTCGTGATGATTGAAGAAAATTTTGTGCGGAAAACAGATTGTTCATAAATATGCGGGAAATGATTGACATTAATTATTAGAAAACTGAATCAATTGAATGGCAAATATACGTCTAAATGATCTTATTGATAACGATAGATGAACATTGAATTGTTGCTTTTTTCAAATCTATTTTGCCTACCAGAGCTATAATAATTCATTAATTAATTTTTAATCGTTTTATCAAATGAGTTGCTAGTGCAATGAAATCCGATTATAATTTTTGGATTTATATTTTCACGACATAATATATTAAACAGATGCCAGTTTATGTGTTAACCATGCTTAACAGATGACAGTTGTCACTTAGCCGGTACATCGAAATGAATTTAGATTTCGTTTTTCATTATCGTGCTTTTCATCATAAGAATCTGTTTGTTTAATCAAATGCTCGATTGAACTTATTAATAACATTATTCATTTACGGAAACATCTTAAAAATCAAAAAGATCGAAAGAGGCGAAAATTGGTTTCAGATACCTTTTTTTAACTGAATGCAATCAAACCTTAATGAACGATTAAAATAAAAAATCAGTGAATTAAATGAAAACCGGGGTGTTTGGAATAATATCCTTCTATTGTTATTATTTTAATGCCAATCGTAATTATGAGTAAAACAACATTTTGTGCAGCTCTGTTGCCAAGTTGTCGATGTTAATAAGTTTGTTTTGTTTTGGTTTTTCCTTCGATTTGTGCAATGCCTGTACGTATACTATTCAGACCGATGACAAAAGCATATCGCGCAAGTAGCGATTGTAACAATTTCAGTGTTTTTTTATGATTGTTAATGAAATGATGAGATCAGTTGATTCGTTTTGTGCAAAGTACAAAAATGAAAATGTTTTGCGATGTATCTTTGTTCAAACTTTAGACTAATTTATTTGCTTTTTTATTATTATTGTTACAGTTAAATGGTGAACAAAATGCGACTACGCGCCCAAGTCACAATGTTGGCCGTTACAAATACGATCGCGAACGAAAATTGGGCCATCGAAGAGTTGGCGACGGTGGTGAGATTACATATAAAAAAATTCAATCGTCACATATTATGGGATCGATTCAGCTAGGAATTCAACATACCGTACGTATCATTATTGTGTGTCAGCCACTTGAAAAATGTTTTCTTAATTATTTCGATTCTGTGTGTTTGGAAACATTAGGTTGGTAGTTTAGCATCAAAACCAAAACGTGACCTGTTGATGAACGATTTTTGGGAATTGGAAACCATATCATTTCCACCCGACGGTTCATCATTAACGCCTGCGCACCACTATGCCGAGTTTAGATTTAAAATCTATGCGCCCATTGCATTTAGATACTTTCGTGGATTGTTCGGTATTCAACCGGATGATTTTATGGTAAGTGTATTTTATTTAATTATGACGTCAATGCAATTCAGGCGAAATCAATTGAAATAATTGAAGCAAATATAAAAAACGAAAAAGTGAAAAATATAAGACTCAAATGTTCTAATCAAATTACAGATGTCAATGTGTTCAGCACCGTTGCGTGAATTATCAAACCCTGGTGCATCTGGTTCGATATTTTATTTGACCGATGACGATGAGTTTATCATAAAAACTGTACAACACAAAGAAGGCGAATTTTTGCAAAAACTATTGCCCGGCTATTATATGAATCTAAATCAAAATCCACGTACACTCCTACCAAAATTTTTCGGCTTATATTGTTTTCAATGCAATAGCAAAAATGTCCGTTTAGTTGTAATGAACAATTTATTGCCATCATATATAAAAATGCATCTGAAATACGATTTAAAGGGTTCAACATACAAACGAAAGGTTAGTTACCAATGCCATTCGATATGATTATTAATTTAAAACAAAACAAAAAATTGAATTAAAATTCCAGGCAAATAAACAAGAACGTGGCAAATCATCACCAACATACAAAGACTTAGATTTTATGGAACAACATCCGAATGGTATATTTCTCGAGTCTGATACGTACAATGCGCTGGTGAAGACAATACAACGTGATTGTCGTGTATTGGAATCGTTTAAAATTATGGATTACTCATTGTTAGTTGGCGTTCATAATTTAGATTTAGCAATTAAAGAAAAACAAGAAGAACAAAATCGACCACCGCCAATAACGCCCGATCTACGAAACATTTCACAAGAGGATGAATCCGATTTGGAAGATGCACCGGAAGCCGATCAATTTATAGCACATGAACGTCATCAAGAGGAACGTGAACGAGTTGGTGCAGCAGCTGCTGCTGCGATAGCACTAAATCGTAGTAAATCGATTAATCGCCAGCGATTGGTCGCACACTCAACCGCAATGGAAAGTATACAGGCCGACAGTGAACCAATTGATGTTCAAGATGATGTGCCGTAAGTTGGTTTTTATTATCTTTACCACTCACTGTCAATGACGAGACTCCATGTATGGCCATTTAAATGAAAATAAATCAATTTTTATCTTTTGCGATGGGTGACAGGCCTGGCGGAATTCCAGCGCGTAGTGAGAAAGGAGAACGATTGCTTTTATTCATCGGTATTATTGATATTCTGCAATCGTACCGCTTGAAGAAAAAACTAGAGCATACATTCAAAAGTATTATTCATGATGGGGTAAGTTCATGTACACAAACATACATACACACAATCTTTCTCATTTAAACACACAAACACATGCTCAAGTTGTCATAATCTAATTCGGAACTGTTTTAGTTATGTACCAAATTTCTTTTTTTTCTCTCTTCCGATTCATTCATGTTCGTGCTCATGCCAATTTACAGGATACGGTATCCGTATGTCGACCATCATTCTACGCTCAGCGATTTCAGGATTTCATGGCCAAAACAGTTTTTAAGAAAATTCCATCGCGTAAGTTTCCAATTGTACCTAACTCTTGACATTTATCACAGACAGGTGTTAAAAACGACGGTGAATACTTGCGAAAGTATATTTTCGAAAGGCAACGGGATTTTTAACATCTGTCTCCAATCAATCTCAAGTGCGATGTGAAAACGTGAGAACACACAATATGAAAAAGGAAAAACAAAATAATAATAACGTAATTTAAAAAGAATATCGACACTAATGCCATGTATACTAAAACAGAAAACAAATGTGATTTAAGAGATTTAGTTTAGGGATATTTTGATTGTAATTCTTCTTTTTTTTTTACTTCACCACAATTGACAAACTGAACAAACAAATTTGTATTAGATTTGTTTTTCCATAGCTATTTGAATTGAAATTCAAAATTTCGAATTATTCATCAATATATATGAACCATGTATAATGACTAAATGTTCGAAAACAAATTGCGTTTGGTTCATGTTTGAAAAAAAAAAGAAATGAAAAAAAAATTGTCCAATCAAAGTAAGACTTCTTCGTCAACAATACACAACAATATATCGAATTTAAATAGTCAAAGCGGTATTAGAGTTTGACGTACGTCCTTTCGATTTGAATGCTCACCGCATTCATTTCAACAATTTATTCCAACCAAAATAATAAAACCAAAAAAAAAAAAAAAAAATACGTAAGCCGTCAGTGTCGAATGAATTTTTTTTAATCAACGAAATGAAAAATTCATATGTATACATATATATATAACATTGAATTTTCGCTCAGTATTTTTTCCTTTCGTAAAACAAATGCTAAAAACAAATTTGCTTATTTTTGTTACTTTTTCTACTCTTTTTTTACACAACATTTACACATTCCATACACAAACATATGAAATACATCAAAACAATCTCTACCATTTTTACGAAACTGTTTAACCGAAAATTTCGAAACAAAATATCACACACAAAAAAAATTAATTCAATGCCCGAATATCGATATAAAAATTAAAGTGGATCTTCCGGAGATAAAAGGAAATCATAGAAAGTTCCGTACTTTAGTTACCAGCTACATAGGTAATCATTACATTGAATTTCTTTGATGAATAACTACTATATTTTTTTTTGTTTACAAATCTCAATGTGCCTGATGGTTTGAATGCAATTGTTGCTTTGAACTCGACAATCTTTCAACCGGTGTTTGAATATGCTATATTCTTAGATAGCTTGATTCGCTCATGAATGGTTCATGTTGATCTTTTGAAAATGGTCAATTGCACTGCTTTCATTTGGTTTTTTTTTTTTTTTTGATAAAAGGATCTGGTCTGTGAAACGACCTGTGCTTGATCAAAATTGAAAATTTCTGCATACCATTATATCCATTGTGACGAATTGAGCTCGTATAACAGCGGCATCGAATCGCACAAAGTAATAAATTTGCATTCATACTAAAAAGCCATTGTCCACAAATTAAACAAGCAAAATGAATCGATTTACGATTCAATTTTCGTTTGAATTTCTCGTTTCGTTTTCGTTTGTATGAATTCCGTTTCCTACTCAATATTTTTTTTGATTGGATATGTTTTCTATTGATTTTCATTAATTTTGTGTGATTAATTTACCAATATAATATGATTTCGTTTTCGAATACGTTTTAAAATTCAATAAATACCAACAACAAAAAAAATTATGTTATTATTTTTGCTTCATCAGTTCCACGAAAATTTTCTCGGGCTTTTATAATTTAATTGCATTCAAACGTTTTTACATAAAATAGCCGCTATTTGATTTTAGCAATATTTTATTGAAAATGTTTCTTTCTTTTGTTTTGGTAAATATATTTGATTTCCAACAGTTTCTTTTTGTCTCTCGCTCTTTCTCTCTAACGATCGCCTTCCCGCATTTTCAAACTTTATTCTCACAATACACTTGTGCATATTCCATAATTCTTCAGTTCAGTTTTTATTTGAAATTTTTCGTTTTACGCCAACATCGCATGTTTTACATCTTTCTTTCTTTTACATTGCAAATATACTTTTTACGTATGTGTAGACCGCATGATATCCGTTTTTATAGAATTCTGACCGAAATTCGGTACATTTTGAAAGTGTTGAGTTTTTCAAGCTAATAGCCGATTACATACACTACTTACACAAACTGATGTTATTTGCACCAAGATTGTTTGTTTTATATTGTTGTTGTTGATGTTGTTGTTTTGTTTTTCTCTTCATTTTATTAAATCACTAATTAAAAAAAAAAAAATTGTGAACAAAGTTGATAAAGGTTCATACATTTGCACCGAATCACATACACACCAATTTGAAATGTACATGAATAATATGTGCTAAAAAAACTGTTCATTAAATGTATATGTGTTTTTTTTACTACCCCGTACATTTATCATTGTAATAACATATTTTCATGCTGTTCATTAAGTTGTTCGAGTGTATTGAAGAACATTCATTTTTTTTTTGTTTGCTATTTTATTGTTGTTGTATCCTAATAAAATTGTAATTAATGGCACAATTGCTGGAGAGAGTTGTAAATAAATAAATGAAGAAAAAAAAAGAACATTGGTAACTGCAATAGAATCTGGTTTTGTTAGAACGAATAAAATGCATTTTCCAGCAAAAACCGCACGTAATTGAATGCAGTTTTTTTTTTAAATAATGGAAATTTGCTACATCCAGTGAATTTATTTTGGCCAGTGACCTATATGTATAATTTAGATGCCTGAAGTTGCTTTTAATCTAAGTTCATACTGCTCAATAGATTGAAAAATTAAACAAACTGACTGATAGATGTAATATAAGCGATAATAATCGAGAAGCTTTTGAGTGAAAACAAAATAACAACAGCCACATTGCATTAATAAACTATGCTGTTAAATACTCACTTCAATTTTTAGTGTTTTTTCGCTAGTTGCCAATTAATCATCGTTATAGATAGACTAAAAAAAACAAATGAAAATGTACTTAAAGTAGATAGTCAAACAAAATTTCATTATAAATACTTATATTTACAATATTTATAAGTGTAATGAGCAAAATCGAAAGCAAATGCAAAATTACTAAAGAACAAAGAAATAATATAGTGACGAGAAATCGAAAGCAGATCCATCGCAGAACAAAAGACATAAAAAATAATAGATGTAAAAAAATATATATATACATAATTTCCAATCCACAATAATTCAATGTTTTTATTTTGCATGTTGTTATCATTCGTGTCTAACTGACATCCATCGTTGCTTGTAAATGTAATGCTCTCTCGTCGCCACACCAAGATCATTTAAATGTGTCACATCGATATCATTGTTCAACTTGTGCATTATTTTCCATCGATAGTTCTCTCTTTATGTTTCTCATCTCACAATCTTCCTATCACACAATCTCACTTTCTATCTATAAATGACACACATTCAACCATTTAAAACATGAAAACAAACAGATGGCAATATCAATGTGTTCTTCTCATATTCATTTGAATATTTTAAGTTGGAAAGATTTCTTTTTTTTCGAGTGTAAAACGATAAAAAAAATGGAAGGGACAACCAAAAAAATTCGTATAAAACGAAGCATTTGCAAATTTGAGCATTTTTATCGGTTGTTATATTATGTATGAAAATATCTATTGAAGTTCGAATAAGGAGCTGCTTATCGTTTGGCAAACAACGTTTACACACTATCCAGTTGTTGTGCTTTTTTCTCATTTCCTTTCCGTTCTGTTTCTACGAAAGCGTCTTATCCACACTAAATATTTTAGTTACGATAACTACGGTGGTAGCCTCATTTGCAATGATGTGTTCGATGAGGGAAAAAAATATACAAACGTGACTTTTTTACAAAACGACTGTCCGTACTTATGAGTGAGCGAGAGAAAAGAAGAAAAAAACAAGATGGATATAGAGAGAGAGGAAAAAGGGTTTCGAATCAGTGTACACCGACTTTCTCTCGATTTCCAACAATATCGACGAATATCAATACCATTTCCAATGGCATTTGTTGTTGAGTGTGTAGTTCTCAAAATCTGATGACTTTGTCACTAAATATCAAACTTTATCGGCTTTGTTTCACGCGTTTGCTATTTACTATACCTACCTATACTTCACATATTTTATCCAATGTATAAGTTAGATAGCTAAAGTTTTTTTTTTTTTGAATAATGAACCGAAAAAACAAACATATATACATCGTTTTCAATGGCTTATATTATTAAACGAAACACTGTTCGTAGACAAAACTTTTATGTTTCTGTTTTAATTTGTCTGTTTGGTGTTTTTTTTTCATTCTCTATTCTTTCTCGCTCAAATCATGGCGATTTTATGTGTATACTTGTGTCATTTATAAAAAGAAAGAAAGAAACACAACAGATTTATGGAGTTTTTTATTGTTATTGTAGAATAAAAAAATACATTTTTTTTTTGTTTTGATTAAATTTTCGCTGTGCCATTATTTTGTCGCTACAATTTTTTTTCTCTTGCAAAAATATTTTTTTTTTGTGTCATCCAAAGCCCAAATATGCAATAATATATGAGTTGTTGTTTTCAATTCGTTTGATATTCTAAAAAGAAACCCATAAAAATACAGAATTTCCTGATATTATGTGTATGTGGTGTTTTTTCACTAGTGTTTTTCCTGTTTTGCTTTCAATGTTTTTAATTTTGATTTTTGTTATTTTGACTACAATTTTTTTTTTGTTCGTTCTTTCGTTTTGTTTTAAAAAGATTTTCTTTCTTTATACGTTGGCTTGATCGGCCAGATCAACTCAATTTCTTTTTTTTTTTTAAATATATACAAATGCAACACAATTACTTTATCTTTTCTAAAATTCTCTAGCTCTCAAACATTCACCATCCAAACGAAAAAGTCTTTCGAAAGCCGCCCAGCGTTCCACTGAAAATGAATCAGAAAACCATCGTAAGTATAAATCACACAAGCACTATGGACAATGTCACACAAAACAGAGAATGCTGCACTTTAATGCAACAACAAAAAGAAAATAGGCAATGAATTCAAGTAGAGCAAAAAAAAATGACTCATCTAATCAACTCAATGTTAGATTGTCTGTCCACTAAAAGAACTATGTTTACTGTCAAATTGTTGAAATGTCATTTCCGTTTCTTATTTTTTGTTTGTTTGAATTCTTCAATGATTCCGTTGTAGCTGTAGCTGGAACATCACACCATCATCATCATCATGTAACCAGTTCCATTTCGAAATCGGGTGAGTTTATCGTGAATCAACCTCATGAGTGTGTGTGTGTTTTTTTGTGTTGGTTTTTGTTTTTCTCTCTTTCAATTCATTTGTTGTTTGCTGTAAATATACATTATAAAATGAATTGCAAGAAATTGATTTCCATCATCTTTCACATGATATTATTTCGTCTCATTCTATCTGATTTGATTTATAGTTAATTTGATTTATTTATTTGAAACAATTCTTCAATCATCATTTTTTCTGAATGTTTTGTGTGGATCACTCGCTCATATTAACCAATATAAATATTTACTTTCTTCTAATTTTCATGCTGCGCGCTTTAAATGGATGAATAATGTAAACAATCTGAATTTTATTTGAAAAAAAAAAAAAAATACTTGTACAAAAAAAAACCACGGAATGAATTATCATAAAATCATTCGATTACTCATTCTTTTTATTATTATTTCTCTCACTTTTTCGTTTTGAAATCATTTTTCATTTCGTTCATATGTTTGTTATGTGTGTTTATGTTTCCAAAAAAATATACTGTGTCTGCTCGAATCGAATTAATTGTACCGTAACAAAAAAAATATGCCTGACTTCAATATACTTGCGACACTATCACATCACCAACAGAAGCACCAGTCACAGTCGCTTCTTCCTTAATTCAGTCAACGCTAGCAAAACCAATTGTAACCGAAGCACCATCTTCAACAACGTCATCATCGTCATCTGTGCCACAACAACAAAGTCCACTGCCCACATTCCAAACGACCATTCCACCGTTGAAACAAAAAACTGGTATAATAAAATCAAAAGTGCCACCACCGGTGCCGCCGCGTGGTTCACCACGCGTTGATCGTCGTACAAGTACCAGTTCACATAAATCGGCAAGCGCAAGTCCGCGTGCGACACCATCATCAGGTAGACATCAAATGAATTATTTGAATGATAAATATTTCGACACAATTCAACCGAATCCAAATAATATGTGTCGCTTATCACCGCAAAAACTCTATAAAAAAGATGAAACATCCGTATCACCGCCACGAACGCCAATATTTCGTGATCGTTCACCAACCTGTGTACGTGATTGGCTTGAAGTAAATGATTTTGCTGCCAGTGATTATGATGAAAATGTGCTACAATTTAAAATTACCGAACCAACAAAATGTGTTACAATTAAACCACGTAAACCGTTACCAATACGAACAGCACATTTACAACGTCAATCAAGCTTTCGTACATTTTCATATAGCAGCGATTCATCCGTTCGATATAAAGCGGAAAAATATGCTGAACACAATGAAATTGTTGCAAATCAAACGATCACTAGTTTAAATAATGATAAAATTGGCATTAGCACTAACATTGTAAGCGATCTCATCAAATCGTACGATTGCAATTCGAATGAAACAACCAACGATAAAATTAACAACAATAATATTAATAATAATAATAACAACATCATTATAAATAACAATAATAATAATGATGCGAATGCGAATGCAAGCGATGCAATTCAGCATCCTGAATCAATGGACATTGAAACGACCATAGAAAAAGGAAACATTGTTAAATTACGAAAAGCATTTGAGAATGCAACACCAAAAAGTCAACCATTGTTACCGTTGATTAAACCAAGAACGAAAAAAAAGAAAACCAACACAATGCCAAAAGTTACGTTCAGTGATCAACAGCCATCGGACACCATTTTAAAAACATTAAAACGAAAAAAAGCGCCTCCAATCGTTAATACATATGCTAACGATGACAATGACAATATGAAAAAAACCGAAATTCTAAAATCACATTCAAGCATTTTATCCGTGGATAATATCACATATTTAGATGCATTTAGCCTTGACGGCGAATTTGTATAAAAGAAATCATACGAATGGATTTCATTTCATTAACATTAAATTAAAGCACAGTCAATAATCCATTTTTCGGACCTGCAATCACTTTCGCTCTCCATCTCTCTCTCTCTCTATCTCTTTGTCTGTCTTTATCTATTTACATTTCAAAATAGAATAGCCGTTTCCTTTTTCATTGCTTGCACAGTTCATATTTTTATACATATATGTATATGGATATATAACATACAATAACAATCATCTCATAATTTCTTTCATCTAGTGCATAAGATTTGAAATCATTTGCTTTAGCTGTTGTTCATGTTACAAAATATCGAATGTACAAAACCCTTAAACGAAATGCCAATCACATGATAATGGCATGAATTCCCAATGTGTATCAATGTGCTTTATATTAACTGGATGCTAAAAATTATTATGAAGAATATCCAAATTTATTGATCACCAGAATGAAGTATATCCCTTCAATGGATTCTGTTAATTCTCTTTTTTATAATGAAAATGACGATAAACAAAACAAAACCGAAAAAAAAAAACAAAAACACAAAAAGAAAATAATTGTTATATCATTAAGTTGTGTATGTTCAATATTTAATGTAACTGATCATCGAAAAAAAAAAACACCAATATCATTATATCACATGTAATCGCTAGGTACAGCACCTTCATGTTGTTCCACTCCACCACCCGCTTTTGATGACATTTCTGAAGGTAGCAGTAGCCATCATCGACATAGTGACGATCGTGGAAATGATCGACGATTACAAACGGGAGGCTCCACCATAAGAAGCACATCCTATCGCGAAGACACCGTTAGGTAAAAGCACATTCTTTTTTCTCACTTCTTTAACAAAAATGATTCAAAAAAAAATCATTTTCATTTTTTTGTTCTAACTAATTTCGATATTGATTAGTTTATCATTTCATTTTTATTTCTCGTACAATCATAGACACTAATAATGTTAATAAATTTTCTTTTTCTTCTTCTTCATTTTCTTTTGTGTTTTCTTCATTTAGTTATGGAACCTTAACACGGTCAACTTGTAGTCTTAGGTGCTTCACATATTTTTTTTTATTCTTTTGTTTATTTCTTTCGTTGTGGTTTTCATATTTGATGTGAACATTTCATATAACACATAAATTAAAATATGTTTCAAATTTTGCAATTGATTTAAATTTCGCAGCATATCAGAAATTCGATTAGATCCACATTTGGCTGTTGATACATCAAGCGGTAGCCAGTATGGGTCACGTGGTGCATTGGCATGGACACCGCCCGCTTCAAATGAAGGTTCAACACCAACCTGGACAGAGGGAACGCCAAGCTTTACTGAATCCAGTTCGAGCGGTGATATGGGTAAGACATGCACAACATTATCGTCATCACGTTTGCAATCGATTCAATTGCGAATTGTGTCGTATCGATTCAGCGACTAAACGGTTACCGAATTCATCAAAAGCATTTTCAGGTAATTCATCACCATTAAACACATACACATCTGCGTCGGATCGTCACAAACCATCTGTCGAAGAATCACTGAATGCACTAACATCGGAAATGGTAAGCAGCCTTCAAATCAATACTTCTAGCATCAAACCATCCTATGCTAAACGATCTGTTACTAACCGTAGTTGTAGTAGTAGTAGAAATTCAGTTAGTTAAACGCGTCATCGTTGTTATTTTAGTTTTTTATTTTATATATACATTTTTGTTTTTTTTTTTCCTTTGCTGTCAATTAAAACAAATCGCATTTTGTTTTCCGAAACAGCGATCAATATACAATACATACATATTTTGTGATTCGAGTAATATACGTGTAAGATGTTCGTTGCGAATCGTTTGTTCATTAAAAAAAAAAAAAATTTGTTGCCATTGTTGTTCGTGTTTGAAAAATTTGAATAACAAATAAATCGCATCATACAAACTCTATTATATTTTTATGGGCCGCGTTGTTTGACTTGTCAATAAGCAGCTTATTGTCCTAGTTGCAATATTCATTTCGTCGGGGCTGCATCACCATCTCATTGCTATAAAAATTTGAAACACAAAAAATTGATACTTTTTCACGGAAATAAATACTATTGACAAACATTGAGAGGTATAGCGGTATACATTTTATTTGCGCTTGATTGTGTATTGCTTTTAAGTCTGCTGTAAAACCGAAAAAAAAATGAATAAATGCATTTCACCATTTCATCTTCATCCCCATGAATTCGTGTCGCACACGTGTGCTTTAATATTATGTTTGTTTATGTGACTGCACTTTCTGATCTTTTTTATTTTCATTTTTCAATGGTAAAAGTAGCAATTTATTGTTTCGCTTCGACACCATTCTATTTTTCGTTCACTCTTTCTTCTTCTTTTTCCTTTTTCATTTTCTGCTGATTTATTTGATTAAATATCCATAAGACCGCTGCACCATGTGTTATATATTATTATTATTTTTTCCAAGCAATTGTGCGTGTTTTGTTTTCACAAATTCAGTTTGAGTTTTTTTTTTCGCTGCTTTTTTGTTTATTTTTGAGACGGTATTTTTCCTCTGTTACTTTTTTTCTCTTATTTTTTTTTCTTTTCAAATATAGAAAATTTCAACTATTGCTACTGCCACCAATAGTAAACCCACACAACAAACTGAAACCCTCAATTCATGTCAACATCCCCCTACTTCTTCTTCTGCTTCAACAATTAGTTCATTTTTTAAATTTCCGTTCAATATTTTCGAATGGTTTACAGTCACCACATCAACATCAAGTGTGAACGAATCAAAACCTTAACCAATTTGATGTGATCATCATCCATAAGAAAAACTAATTTGAATAGAGCATGAAGGTGTGATTTTTTTTTGAAGAGTTCTTGCCACTGGAATGCGGCGCATTCGAAAAAAAGCAAAATGGAAAAATATTGCATACATGAACAAAAAACGAACAAATCAATTCTGAAATTATTTATTTACATTCATTTTGTTTATAAACTTTTCTGTCTTTCTCGAAAATTTTGCTTTCATCGGTGAAATGATGATACTTTTCGCAATTTACTTAAATTTGTCGCATGCAATTTATATATATATAAAAAAAAATTATATGTTTTTCCAAAATGACGAGAAAAACCGAATGACTTTTTTCATTATTGTTTAGTATATTTGTTGTAGATATTTAAAAGAACAAAATATGTGAAACATTCTGGTAATGCTTAATAATTTATAAAAAAATAATAATTTTATGTTTAAATCTAATGCTTAATCTAATTGTTGGATATTTCTCAAATTATTTTTGCTGCCGGTTATTGAAACAAACAAAACAATATTTGTTCTCTTTTTTTCTCTGATTTCATGCTGCATATCATTCAATCGTATCCCATACAAATCGAACGCTTTCACAACATGGAACCAAAAAAAAAACACTTTTTTTTCAATTGTGCAAAATTCATAAAATCCAAAACCCGCAAAACACAAATCGAACGAACAAAATTGAACACACACAAAACCGCATTTTTGGTGAATTATTTGTAGCTAAATCTGCGATGTCAAGTCGATTATGATTATGATTAAATTGAGACGTTCACAGAGAGAAAAGATAGAGAGAGATAAAAGCAGAAAATGACGAAGAACATCAAACACGAACGAATAAATGAATTTCAAGTTCATATTAAGTGATTTCGATAAAATCGATTGATAGGCTTCCTTCGTTTAATGCAAAGGCAAAACTGAATAGCAAAAGCAAAACAAAAAAAAAAACAATTGAACAATGTCCACCGTTTATATGAGCCTTTTGTGTATTAACTGTTAAAAAAAATCTTTTGAAATGCTATATTTCTGCGTGTTCCATATAGAGTTCAATTTTGAAAATACCCATATGCCACACAAGCTATATAATACATATATAAGGAAAACAAAACCAACAAATATTAAATATAAACTAGCGTTTTTTCTTCTGTTGAAAATGTCTCAGACTGGTTTTTATTATTGTCATCATCATGTACAGTTTTGTGTGCAAAATGTTGAGTTTATTTACATTCATCGGCGGGCAGTGTATTGTTGTGTTCATTTTGTGTTGCGAACACTAGAGCATATAGTACCAATTACAATGAGAATGCAATGAACCAATTCTGTCAATCAATATAAGAACCAATTGGTTCCTTGGTTTTGAAAATGATGTACCTAATTTTAAAGAGATCAACAATTTATTTTTGAAAAGAAAATCAATCAATTTATTGTTGATAAAAATGTCCGAGACGGTGTGAATTTTTCATTGAAAATAGATGGAAAACTTTCTCTTATTGAAATGTTACTACTAGTCAAAATATTAACGGCCTTTTCCAATCAAAAATAGTCACAAATATAAATAGCAAAAAAAATGAGAGTGAATGGAAGAGAAAGCGAGTAAAATTTTCAATTGAAAAGAAAAATCTGCACACAAAACGAATACAACGAACCATGCTCAATGAGACTTTAATTCTTTTTTGTAGAAGTTTTCGTTTATTTATTATTAAATAATATTGAGAGAAAAAAATATAAAAAAAATCCGAATACGGTTTTATTTAAATATACCCCTTGCTTAATGCCTTGCGTTTATAAGAATTTGAAATGTATTGCAAACGATCCAATGAAAATATGAATCCTTTATTTTCTTTTAGAATTTTTGTTTTAAAAAGCAGTTTTGAATTTAATAAAAAACCACCAACACCCATTTACAAACTGAACAAATAAAATTTGGTGCTTAATCGAGCATGACCTCAGTCGATTCAATCATTATACGTTAACAATAAAATCAAAAGAAAAATCTGTACAAAATACATTGGCATAGACTGCAGCAAGCTTCGTTTGTTTGATTTATGGAAATGGCTGCAATTTTATCCATTCTTATTTACATCTTCAATTTATTTTCATTCTCTCTTTTTTTTAATATAATATCATCCCAATAATAAAGTTTATGAGAAAGTGAGATCATTTTTTAAAATGAATGTGATACATTTGATTTAAATTTAAGTATTCTATCCCGAAGAAATTCATTTCCACGTGCATTAAATTACAACATGCTATAAATATATATGATAAAAGAAATATGAAACAATAAAATACATTTAAATGATCTGAATACGTTGAAAGATCGGTTTATTTCTTCCGAAACCACATTGAGTGCAGTCGTTGAATTACGCACGTTTTATTAGATTTTCGTTTCGAAACAAATCACAAATGAGCGATAACTAAGCGATGACGATGAGGTGTATACTAAAAAAAACAGAGTCGTATTTTGTTTATGTTGATTTCTTTTTCGTATTATGATTATTATCGGTTTTAAGTCAATATTTGAAAATCATAAAAAATGAACATTTTTTTAAAGAGGAATGATAAAAAGTAATTATATTAAAACGAAGAATAATGGTGAAATTTCAACAATCAATATCAAATCCATAAAATCATAAAATTAAAGTGGGATTATATGCCTTTTCGCTTTTTTGTTTATCAAAATCATATAAAATAGTTATAATAATATATAACAATATGAAGTGGATTGGAAAAGATGTCAAATCGGTAGCACCTCGAACACAAAATATGTAAATAATGTACATTTATTAATGGAACAAACACAAGTACACACTTTTTTTTGGCGCAATGCAAATGTTCAAAGCTAAACAGAAAAAATAAAAAAAATGGTAATTAACCATTATATAATATATACATATATATAATAACTAAGATCAAAGCAAATAAGATAACAAATTTAATTAAGCGCAAGTGTTTTTTTTTTTTTTGGAGTTCTGCCTGTTCGATGCGCTAGGATAAATGTTTAGGCATAAAATATATTCGATTTATGTATATGGCAAAAAAAACTTGTTAGATAAAATATATACATTTAGATAACAAAAAGTGTATCAATTTTTTGTTCAACTTCAACAGCTGACCAAACCATTCGATTTAAATTGATTGTTTGGATTGAATTGCGAATGGTGTCGCACAAATTCATAAAAATCTCGTTTTTTGCGATGCTGAAAAGTTTGAAGTTGATCTATTCGCATTCGAATAAAGATTGAACTATTAAAACTTCAAATGCAATTTTGCAAGAAAAGAAAACCGAATACCATTTCTTGGTATTTTCTTTTAAACTAATAAATGGTAACAGTTCGTTCTGCCAGAATCAGATATATACACATATTTTGGCTGAAATATGAAAGCCATTTATTTAATAAATGAAATAAATACAAAAATTCAAAGCAATATTTGCTTCTAATTTGTGCATTTGGCACAAGTGTGAACAACACGTTGAAAAGCACGAAATAAAAAGAAAACGATCGAGAGGAAGGTAAAAAAAGAAATTCCGATACGACAACAAAATATTACAACAATAAAATTGTATATTTGAATAAAATGAACATATTTTGAGAATAGATTAAAGGTTAAAGGCAAACAAATCATATGCTGAAATCACAACATTGAAAATTCAAGCAAAAAATTACCAAAAACCTATGGAGAGAACGATAAAGATCGTTTCAAACGATGAACTGTCAAAGTGATACAAGTCCAATATATTTAAACAAATTAAAAAAGTTCTAAATTATAAGGGGAATATTTGCAACATAAAAAATAAGATTACAAACTAATACAACAAATGAATATTGTTAATTTGATTATGTTTAAAACAATTCTCTCAATTAGACGTTTAAATGAACACATTCTCTTTTTTTTTTTCTTCTCTTAATTATAAAATTGCGACTTTCGCTCTCTTCATCTCTATTTCTTCTTCCTCTCCCGCCAATGTTCGCAATTTTTGATACGGATGACATGGCATCGGCGTTTATTCAAACATTTTGTGCCAAATTTGTTGTAAAGATCTCATTCTTAATTGGTGCACGCATTTATCGAATCGCCACCAATACGTCACGCAACATTTTTACCACATATTTGTTCCTTTGTTTCTTCATATCGTATGTGTGTGTTACAGCTGGTTCTCAACTTTTGTTTCTTTCACCTTTTCGCTTAACAAAAATAATAAACGTGACACACAATGCCAGTCAAAAATATCATCTCATTCGCATCAATTAATCGAATCGATAATGGTGGTGAGACCATGGCGAAACATATTATTAAAAGAAAAGCAGTCGCAAAAGAAGAATTAACATTCAAATTTCATTCTTAATATATATATATATATCGAAGAAAAAAAAACGTGTAATTTTCTTTCTATTTCAACTATCAATGTTTAACTGTTGCATTACACTTGAAATGAGATCAAATCTTTGTTCTACCTCAAAACATACAAGCAAGTAAACAGTGAATTCATTTTTTCTTTGTGACAAAAATGAATTTGCAAAAAATGAAACGTGTTTCAGTTTAATGGTTTTGTAGATAAGTCTCTGACATTTTCATCTCCGAAACTCAATTTGACAATATTTTTCCACATCATGGTGGTCATTTAATTTTCCTTTATCAATCAATTGATTCTTTGAAAAATCGTCTTGAAAATATTTAAATTTATTCAATGTGAGTTAAAAAAAAATACTCGAAAGTAAAAAAAAAATGTTTTTACTTTATTTACAGTCGATTCATGTTTCCTGGGGATAAATTTGCCTCGAAACATATTTAAAAAAAATCTCAAGTTCGGGGCAAAAAGCTTAAGCTTGTCTCCAGGAACATCCAAATTGACCGTTACAATCAAAAGTTACGATATATACAGACGAAAAATATGTTCTACTACAAAATAAAAACATGAATTTCGACATATCTCACAATCAGTAACTCCTAAAAGTAAAGAAGACGAACAAAAAAACACACTACAAATAAATATGAACATAAGTTTGAACTTAGTTCTAAGTTATTATTCGGGTAGAACATAAATATGTTTTGATAACATACAAAATTGTTGATTTTTCGATGTTATTTGTTAAAAAAAAAGAGATGAAGAATTAAACAAAATACAGTAAACAAAGATGTGAGAATCCTTTTGAGATCGTGTACCGAAGTTCAGACGAATAACAAAAAGTAGATAGACTACCTTAAGAAATATAATTAAAAATGAGTTTCGCAATTGGTCAAATCAGTGATTATTTTTCTTTTTCGATTCAATTCCATTATTTAATGATGGAACGAGAAACATATAAGACTATTACATCATCATGGCATCCCTTTTTTGGTTTTGCTCAAACGCCAATTTCAATTTTAATGGGTTTGGTTCACCTTTTTGATATACCCTTTTATGCGACCCATTTTCACATCTTTTGCACATACAAATGTAATAATACACACACACACACAAAAAAGAATTCATTTGCAATGCTGTGCGACATTGTATCAAAATGTCTGACAGGTGAAAAAAGAATTAATGAAACCAAAATATACAAGTAATAATCACTATCGCAAAAGTTTCGCATTGAACGAACAGACAAAACAAATGTAATATCTTTAAAACAAGTGGACCTTTCTTAATACAAAGACATTCACAATATAATCTGTACAAAGAAATCATTGAGAGCTCGGACTCGCTCGTGTATTCAGCTCAAAAATTGACCGTGAAATTTATCGCGTCGAATTTTGTTTCGTTTGAGCTGAGAACATTCCGTTATATTGAGCATATTGATATCAAACCGAAACGAAATCGATGATATGTGTACGAAATAGCCAATCACCAAACAAAATGAATAAACATGTAGCATAAATAACAAATAGACCTATCAATGGACAAATAATATCGTTGCAAAACAGGAGTTAAAGAAAACAGAAAACCAAATAATATACAATATTGAAACATACACAAATACATTTGAAATATACCAAAAAAAAAGAAACAAACACAAAATTCAATGCGACAAACAGCATATAGCGTGTAGTTAAAACAATTAAATTGAAACAGAACAAACTAAATGAAAACAACTAATGTCAACAGAAAGTAAATTTAAAGAAAAAAAAAATGAAAAATTATGTAATCCTCCCCCCCAATTAACCTCAAATAAATTAATTTGATTTCAGTCATCAAATTAAAAAGCAATTATGTTTTGATTGATTTTATACAATACAATTATGTAAATCAATATCAATAATTCTCTTTTTCTCTTTGTCTCAATCTGATGATTTTTCTTTTGTTGGTTTCTCTGTTTGGAAATGAGTTGGGCTTCATGTCAAAATTCAAAATTGAATTTCTATTAAAAGCTAGATTAAAAGGCTTCACACAATCAACACACGTGAACAGGGAATCTCGTTTTACGATTGTACTTCCAAGTGTTTAAATGTTATGCATACTAACCAAAACCAACGTACTGTGTTACCAATTGCGTATATATTTGGATGCCATATATATTTTTTTATTTTGATTCAATAAATGACATCAAGACAATGCGATTGGATTGCAATCTTTCTTGGAGCGGATTCTCTTGTATGCCTAGAATCTCTATTACATATGTTTGATATTTATGTTTAAGCTACTCATATTCGAAATCGTAAACAACAGCTGCACGACCAAGAACATGTCATTTTCTAAACTATATAAAAGAAAACATATTTACACACACACACACAAACATGCAGTACACACAATGAAAATGGTATCATCTGCTTCTGATTATATTGTTTTGTATTGCGCGGGATAAATGAAAATGTCACCGTGTGCATGTTGTTGGTTTCTCTCTTCCTTTTTTTGTATGTGTGAAGAGACACCTCGATTCCAAATGCAATTTGAGGTACAGACGATTTTGAATGCGGGTATCTTTTACTAATTCCATTTTCCACTCTGTTTCGTTACATTTCAAACATTAATTTTCCATGTTTGGTTTTCTCTCTTTTTCAATTTTGAAACATTTATTTAGACTCATCTTTAGAGGATTTCCAAAGGACAATGGATGACAAGATGATGAGGAATGCAGCATACAAATTGAATTTGGAGTATTATAAAAATACAGCTATTTCCAAACCTCATGTCACACACAAACAACTACCTGCAAATTAATAATTTTAATGAACCAACTAGATTTAACATCTAAAAGACATGATTATATATGTGATTTTCTAATAGACCTAACATTTGTTAATATTTGAAACATTACAAGCTTTGTTATTCAACTAAAGAAGAAAGAAAGAAGATAAAAAACTTTAGTTTAAAATTTATGTATCCAAACACTCAACAAAATTAAAATCAATTTATTTATACCATTGAATAGTAAATAAAAGAAAAATGAGACTTAAAATACCAATAAAACTGTATATGTGTCTTGACCTGAAATCTTCATTTCCGAAGATGTATCATTTCGTCGAATTTAAATGTAGCGCCAAACGAACGTGTGTTGAACAACGTCGAATTCGTTTCGTGTGAAGTTGTATGCGTACGCATTACGCAAATGTCAACCGAATAGAAAAATAAGCGAGGGCGCGCACAAATGCACAGCGAAATAGTGAGAGAAAAAAAAAGTAAGACAGCGGCCGACAGAGCTCTCAATACAAATGTATGTAATCAGAAGTACAAAGATGGTTTTTCGTAGTCCGCTACATTTGTGACGCTTCAAATAGTTTATTTCTTTATTTTTTTATCTTGTTGAAAAAAAAAACTTACAAATCCATAAATGTTACTTGGTGTTGAGAATTGAACTATAATTTTAAACAAATGTGAGTATAAATTCGGTCATAACAATCAATGGATTTTATTTCATATATATTCTAAACAAGCCAAAAACATACAGGCATTTATTGGTTAATTTCAATTCGGTCGGTAAGCTCGAATTTGTCGTGATTCACGCTCCAAAATACATGCATATAAACACGTACGGTTCGATTTTCGTATATTATTTATTTTGCCAAAAATCAAACGAATTTTTTTTTTTTTTCACGCCATATCAACAATAATCCTGTTTAATTTTTAGTTTCTTTGTTTTTTTTTTTGTGTCGACCATTTCAAAGAAAGGACACAAACATTTCTATTTACAATTGTGCAATTGTAAATTTTCATTGTCATTTGTTTGATTGTGCAAAAAAAGGAAGAGAAATCTAATCGACATATTCACGCATTCTGTCAAATTAGATTCGGCATTCAGAATCAATTAAAAAAACGTGAGAGAGAAGAGAAAAAAAAAACGCCGATAGACAACTAAAAAATAGAAGTATATTAACATGGGTGCATTGAAAATAAGTTTCTGGTTAATGTGCTTAGAATTTTTTTTTTTGTTTTGTTTGAAAAATGAAATTTGTTTGAAAAGATATAGAATTACCGTTCCATGTGTACATTAAGTGCATAATTATATGCAATTTGTGAAAACAATTCGTATTTCGTTTCCTTCCCATTCGTCGCAAAGAAATGCATTATTTTCCCAATGCCAAATTGATGTAATTTGAAAAAGAAATTACGGTGCGCAAAAATTGTTAAATAATAAAATGAGTTTTTTTTTAATAAATGGATATTCATCTAAAGGATAATCAAATTTGAAACCAATTGACAAAAGTGTCGAAAATTAAAAGAAATTATTATATTGAGAGTTGTTATTAATTCAAACGGGACTTAAGAATTGTGCAAAATTGTGTTGATCAACTAATATACATAACCAAAATGCAAAGCATTCATTTTGTCATGTTTAACCCAAGTTTTAAAATACAATGCATTGAAACCATCTCAGACACTACTTTGGTTTGTGTGAGATGTTGTGAAGTATTCACAAAAACATAATAGGAAAATGCATAAATTTAAAGTGTTCAACATATTTGTCGTTGATAAAATGTGCGAATAAATTGCATATTATGCTGTAAAAATGACATTTTTTATGATATTATTAGCTGTCAAGTTATTTATGCCGAAAAAATGGTGCAATTTTTTATTCTAAAACGTTCAATATGTATTTGAAAGCGATGGCTTCTAATACTCTGATGAAGTTAACAAAAAAAAAATTCAATAAAAATAACAACAGCGGCAGCAACAACAACTGCAACACAAGCAGCATTAATAACAACAACAACAACAACATAAACGACGATTGCATATAACATTAACAACGCTATGATTTATGTTTGGCGTTGCGTTTATTCGGAGCATGCAATGCAATTTTTTTTCTCTTCAATCTTCTCTTTTTGTTCCATTTCTTATAGTCTTTGGTAATTTCTTCCAACGTTTGTGTGGAACATAAGGCGCAATGGTGCAACTTCATTCCGATTGGCATATCGTTCTACGTTTTGGTTCGACTCTCTCTCTTTGCTCGCCTGACAAGTGAATTTCATTTGTGAATATCATCGACGAGCGGAGAACAATGTTCCAATGCGATATATATTGCTACGTTTTTTGTTCTCCTTCTCTATATAGCATTTGCTTTGTCTCTCTGCTGCTCTCCGTGTGATTCTCTAACCTTCTCACTTCATCTCTCTCCCGATGTGTCGACATTGCCGACTGGATAGCTCTCACTCTCTCACTCTTTCTCTCAATTTTTCGCTCTTTAGATATATTCACACGCAAATAAACACATACATCAATCCAACATTCACATTCACCGATAATATTTCGGTCTATGTGTGTTTAGTGTATCACAAAAATGAACATAAATATTTTTTTTAATTAACTCATCGCCAACTAAACTTTTTTACGATTCATTTATATTTTTCATTCTGTTGTTGTTAAAAAAAAAAGGAGAAACTATTTAGTGTATAGTGTATAAAAAGAGGTTATTTTCCTTCTTATTATTATTGAATATCATTGTGAGTGTTTGCGTTGCTCAAATTCTTGAGTCTCTTTCTCTTATTGCCCATAATGTCAAATAAAAAAAAAAATCTTTTTCTTTCGTGCGTTTCGTGTAATTCTTATTTGCGAAAAGAAGAAGAGGAAGAAAAATATATAAACGAATTAAACAACTCCGAAAGTCTAAGTGTTATGTGTGACAAGCTTCCCGAATATCATTTCGTTTATGAATATCCAATACCAATTTGAGCATTCAATAAATTGTCAAATCATTTTTCCATCGACCGTATATGTATATTATATCGATGATCCGGTATTTATTAAGTGTCAAATGTTTGCTAAATCCACCGATTTCATTTTATACATTCCATTCCAAGAGATGTGTGTCATTTGAACAATTTTGCATTTGACCATTGTTTCATAAGGATGTGTGACGATGGGAAGTAGTTCGAATATTTGCGCAATAACTCGATTATTTCTTTGTTTATACATTTCTTTTGAATACATCCGTAATGCATTTGAAGCTGTCACAATGACGCTACTGTACTTGTTGCTGCACTATTCACTCTTCAAATTAACTTATTCATTGAGCAAATTTTATCACCACTTTCTCTCTTTCTCGCTCGAATCTCCCAATTTTAATTAAAGCGAAGACAACAAATTTCAAGAAAAACAATACAAATATCATTATTGTTCTAAACGAGTTCACATTTTTCTCTTTCTCTTCTACTTTCTTTAGACTAATTTTGAAGTGAAATTTAGAGGAAAAGAAAAACTGGAATCCACATCAATAGTATCCAGAGACGAGCGAGCATACAACCGTTTTTGTTTAATTGACAAAATCAATTTTTCCGGATCTCTGCAAAATGGACAGTGAAAACCATAATAACGATTCCAGTAACCAGCAAGAAACACGGAATAACACAGTTGAAGCGATGGATACAGAAGAAGGTTCGTGTGTCAAAAGAACTATTCAATTTTAATTGGTGTCATTTTTTTTGTGTGTATCCAAAATTTGTTGCGTGTGTTATATTGGTGGAGCAAAGACGAATTTGAATGATTAGATTGAGAGCAAAGCTGAGCATTCTGAGTGAAGAGCCGGTTTTAAATGGAATTCTAAAATGCTTTGTTTTTTTTCTCTTCAAAACACAAAGGAAAATCAAATAATTTATAATAATTTGGATACGTTTTTGTAAATCATCAACCGAATTGCGACCAATTTAACAAAAGAAAAATTTATTCTTCAAACATTCATATATTTCAATTCGATTTTATTTTTGTTTAACTTGAAAATAATTTGGTTTTGGTGTGCATTGCTTTGAAAATCGTAAAAAATAATAATCAATTGAAAGATTTTTTTTTAAATAACTGAAAATAACATAGTAGTCATTGTATTCAAATTATTTAAAAAATGTCAATCCGATTTGTTAAATATTATATACATGAATTATATTCGATCACAATAAAAACGATAATAAAAAATAAAACGAATAAATAAACAAACATACTAATGATAATTGACATAAATCAAAATGATATAGAGCCCACAATGCCCGTGCCGGCAACGGTGAATGAAAACAGTAACGAAGTGGCCGATGTTCAAATGGAGGACGAAGAAATGAGATCGGAGGCAACATTCACTTTTGTTGTACATGATTTTAGTAAAATGAAAGACTCCATATTGTCGCCACCATGCTATGTCCGAAACCTGCCGTGGAAAATAATGGTGATGCAACGCACGAATTCGAGTGACCGAGGTCAGGACACTAGATCGATGGGATTCTTTTTACAATGTAATGCTGAAAGTGAATCGTCTAGTTGGTCGTGCAATGCAAAGGCTGAATTAAAATTGATGTCACAGAAACCCGATCAGGAGCCATTTGTACGACAAATTAAACATTTATTCTACAGTAAAGAGAACGATTGGGGTTTTTCACATTTTATGAATTGGAATGAGATATTGGATCCAGACCGGGGCTATATTCAGGATGATAAAATTGTGTTGGAGGTGCATGTGTGTGCCGAAGCGCCGCACGGTGTATTCTGGGATTCAAAAAAGCATACAGGCTTCGTTGGATTGAAAAATCAAGGCGCTACATGTTACATGAATTCGCTACTTCAGACACTCTATTTTACAAATCAATTGCGTAAGGCTGTTTATAAAATGCCAACCGAAGCCGATGACAGCACAAAATCGGTGGCATTGGCATTGCAACGCGTTTTTTATGATTTACAATTTTGCGACAAACCAGTGGGAACAAAGAAACTGACTAAAAGTTTCGGATGGGAAACGTTAGATTCATTTATGCAGCATGATGTTCAGGAATTTTTGCGTGTACTATTGGATAAGGTTGAAAGTAAAATGAAACGTACATGTGCCGAAGGTACGGTGCCCGCATTATTTGAAGGCAAAATGTCATCGTACATAAAATGCAAAAATGTCAACTACACAAGCACACGAATGGAAACCTTCTACGATATTCAATTGAATATCAAAGGCAAAAAGAATAGTAAGTTATCATGTCGAAAATCCGAAAGTGTAATTCGATACAAATCGTTTGTTAATAATTGCATATTCATTTTTTTTGTTTTCGTTTATTTTCGTTTAGTTTATGAATCCTTCAAAGACTACATTGCCAAGGAATCATTGGAGGGTGACAACAAATATGATGCTGGCGAACATGGTCTTCAAGATGCTGAAAAGGGAGTGATTTTTGTTAAATTTCCGCCCGTACTGCATTTACATTTGATGCGTTTTCAATACGATCCAATCACAGATAATTCGGTGAAATTTAACGATCGCTTTGAATTTTACGAACACATCAAATTAGACGATTATCTACAAAGTTCAGAGGATACGCCAGCCGATTATACACTGCATGCGGTTCTTGTGCATTCAGGCGATAATCATGGTGGCCATTATGTAGTTTACATTAATCCATATGGTGATGGAAAATGGTGTAAATTCGATGACGATGTGGTGTCGAAGTGTAATAAAGCCGAAGCCATTGAACATAATTACGGTGGCGTTGACGATGATTTGAGCTTGAATGCCAAACACTGTAGCAATGCGTACATGTTGGTTTATATAAGAAATTCAGCGATGCAGCAAGTGCTACAAGAGATCAAAGAGTCCGACATCCCATCGGAGTTGATTGATCGATTAGCCGAAGAACGACGTATGGAACAAGTGCGACGACGTGAACGAAGCGAAGCAAATACGTACATTACCATTAATGTATTGCTCGAAGAATATTTTGAGGGTCATCAAACGACTGATTTATTCGATTTGGAAAAGGTTCATTGTCGCTCATTCAAAATGAAAAAAACTCAAACAATCGCCGATCTAATGAATACATTTAAAGATGCATTTTATACGCCAATATCGCATATGCGTTTATGGCCATTAGTTTCACGACAAAATCAGTTGACGCGACCGTCATTCTTCTACTACAAGGACGATCAAAATAAAGCAATTATTCAATGTGCTGAACTACAAAATCCGTGGCTTGTATTTTTGGAGCTTTTGCCACCAGATTCTGGTCAACAAGCGTTGCCACCATTCAACAAAGAACGAAACGTGCTTTTATTCTTTAAGGTTAGTATTGACCGAATCGCATCCAGCCACATGGCAGTCCAAAACAAAGAAAGCCTAAAACGAACATTTTTTTGCTTCATTTTCAGTTCTACGATCCGGCCATGAAACGATTGAATTATTGTGGACTTGGCTATTATAATATCACACAGAAAGTAAGCGAACTGGTGCCTGATTTGAATCGGCGTGTCGGATGGCCAGCCGACACAGAACTAACACTTTACGAAGAACAGGGATCCAATATGGTTCAAAAAATTACAAATCTTAATGACACTCTGGAAAAAGTGAGCTGCATTTTATATTTAGAAAAATCGAAACTCTCTTTTTATTTAATCTCATTTTAATCGCAGCTCGATTTAATGGACAATGACGATGTTATAATTTTCGAAAAGAAACATTGTGATGATAATCTGGAGTTGGCAACATGTGAAGATTACTTCAAGGATTTATTGTATCGAGTTGAGGTAGTTTACATTGACAAAACTAATCCAAATGATGCCGGTTTCACGCTAGAATTGTCACAAAGAATGTCTTACGAACAAATGGCGAACGCCGTAGGACAAAAAATGAACGTCGACCCAAACACAATACAGTTTTTCAGATGCCAAAAGTAATTTTCAAATCGATTTCCAATGAAAACCATTTCATTGCAATATTATCATTTCATTTGCAGTTACAAAGATTTACCAGGCAATGCAATCAAATCAGCATACGAAGGTCCACTCAAAGATTTTCTAATTTATAGTAAACCGAAATCAGTAAAGAAATTGTTTTATCAAATTTTACCAATGAATATTAATGAATTAGAAAACAAAAAACAATTCAAGTGCTTTTGGGTGAGTCAAATCAAATAGTCAAATAGATGTTGGCAACAAAAACGAAGTAATTTTTGCTAAATATGATGTCATTTTGTAAATAGCTTACGCCGAATATGAAAGAGGAAAAAGAATTAGTTCTATATCCAAATAAAAATGGCACAGTTAAAACGCTAATCGAAGAGGCTGCCAAACATGTTGAATTCAGCGAAGATGGCACACATCAACTTCGAATGGTGACAATTCAAGGCTACAAAATTGGACCCGGACCACGTGAAGACACTGAACTTGAACGTAAGTTTCATTGAATCGCCTTGATGCTTTCCAAATGTATCACAAAACAATTGGCAGTGTTTATTTATAAATTGGACGATTGGACATTTTCAGATTTGCATCAACATGGTGATCAAAATGTGTCACAGCAAATATTCTATCGCTTTGAAGAGATTCCACCATGTGAATTGAATTTGGCCGATGATGAGATGCTCATACCCGTATCACATTTTTATAAAAATGTCCATGAACTATTTGGCATACCGTTCTTTGTGAAAGTGAAACAGGGCGAACAATTTTGCCAACTAAAAAATCGCTTACAAAATAAACTCGGTATTCCAGACAAAGAATGGGAAAAGGTTTGTATTTATTTCAATTGAATATATATTTTTATTTTTCGTGTTCAAACCCAACATAAACAACAAAAAATTATCACAATTTATAGTATAAATTCGCACTGATTACAATGGGACGAGCCGAGTATATCAACGAAGATGACGTTGTAATTAATTTGGCTGATTTCAAAAACAGTAGCAATAATCAACGTAAGATCATTTTATTTATTTTAATTAAAATTCCACCTAATATCATTGATAAGATGACACATTATGAATGAATTCTGTCTGTTTTTCTTATTCTTCTTCTCCCATTTTTCTCTACTTTTTTGGTTTTCATTGTTGGGACTTGGGGCACATTTATCAACAGCAGGAGGAACTCCGATGTGCTTTTTGGGCTTGGAGCATGTGAATAAAACACAGCGCCGATCACGTTTCAATTACTTGGAAAAGGCTATCAAAATTTATAACTAAGTGAATACCTAGCCCGCGGGCGAAATACAGCAACGTTTCGCTGAAATGAAAGAAATTTAAACAAAACAAAAACAACAACAACAACAACAAACAGCATGGGTTAGGATGGGGCACATATGACATTGATTACTAAATATATCTAAAAACGGTTACAGTCAAAACAACAGCAACAACAAACGCTATGAGTGAGCCGATCTAAAAAAAAAACATACAAAACACACAAATCGCCTGTAATTGAAGGTTCCAAAAGAAACCCACGCCTACACCCACACACACATACTGTGCATGCTAAAAATGAATGGAGGAGAATTAAGAGGAGAATAAATTTGTAAAAATATTTATTACGCTGCGCTTACATTTATTTCTTTACTGATGTTCACTTGTTCTCAACATAAAAAAGAGAGCCGAATACCTTATCTCTCCTTTTATTTTTAACGAATTAGAATATTTAAATTACTTAAAAAAAGAAGATAACAAAAATTTGATCCTGTTTGCCACAAATAGAAGCGTTTATTAAATTATTGTAATTTTCTCTTTGTATCTCTCTCAATCACTCTCTTTTATTCACATACATACATTGTTTCGATTTATTTAAAATCAACGGAAGAAAAAAATGTTTTTTTTTTTTTTGAAAAGATATAAACAAATACACACACATACATACAATTGGTTTAGAAGAAAGAACAAATGAAAGAAAAAAGCAAATAAGATCGATTTTGTACAGATTACAAACGAGTTTGGTTTTCACATTTAAACTTTATTTTCTCTCGCAATTGCAATCCAATTGTCGATTTTGTGTTACTTGTTCGCATAAAATGGAAAACAAATCAAAGAGAAATGATTTAGTAAACATAAACGTGGTTACTAATATTTTGTTTAATTTTGATGGCATTCATTCGTTCAATTGACAATGATGGAATCTAACCACACTCCCCAGAACACACATTTGGCAATTTCAAATGAATAAAATCGCTCATTGATTTATCAAAATGTAGCCATAATAATAACACAACCCGTGCTACAGATAGTATAAACATAAAATGTCAACACATACATATTGATGAACTGGTCCATAGTCAAACACATCAGTTTATTTTAAATTTAAACTATTGTATTATTTATAAATGATTTTATTGTGATCAAGCAATTGTTGAAATGAACAAAAAAAGCAAAAAAAAAAAATAATAATAACACGTCTTCATCTCTTTTTTATTGACTATTTCTCATTTTCTATTCGTGAGTTCGAACAGAATGAATGTTTTTTCTCACATGTTTTTTTGAACACATATTGGATTGGATATGAGAATAAATTGTCTTTAGCAGAAATTAAAAAAAAACATTCGTTCCTTTCGATCTCGTAAATAGATCTCATTTCCTCTATCACGCTGTCACACTTTTTTAGTTCTGTAATTAAAAAGTCATCAAATCAAACCATTCAAATTATTTAAATGCTGCGATTAGTTAGCTAGAGGCGATTATAATTTCTGTTTATTTTTGTATTTAACATTGTTTACCCTTTGAGAGAATAAATAATTGAAACCTATGTTGCCCACGAAACCCCTTTCGATTTTCCACCAAAAAAGAAAGAAAGAAATTTACATTAATTTCTATTGGAATATGTCATATAAATAGGAAAATAATTTTGCTGCATTTTGCGATCGTTTTGTCATCGTCTTCAATCGCTTCAATCGAGGAGAAATGATTTACTTTGTATTTCATCAGCGCATAAACCTTTCTTCTCTCTCTCTCTCTCTCTCTCTCTCTCTCTCTCTCTCTCTCTCTCTCTCTCTCTCTCTCTCTCTCAAGAATCAAGTGAAGTTTCATTTTACTTTTTTTTACGCTACCACGTAAGAATTGCATACTCTCATTCGACATCCATTCATTTTTTTCGATATATGTTATTTCTTTTTATTTTATTCAAAATGAATAACTTAATGTAAAACATCAACAATTTTGAAGAGAAAGAAAAACAACAACCATGAATAAGAAAATCCCATATAAAAAGGAAAACCATGCCGAAAAAATACTAAAACTTAGTAAATAATTGTTTTATTAAATGAAGAAAAAAAAAACAGAAAGAAAGTGAAGAAACATTGTAAGAAATGAAGAATAAAATTTACTTTAAAATTGAAACAAAAAAAAATGAAGAAAATGAAGTTTCATTTTTCATCGAATTTTTCCATTTTATTTTAGACCGAATTTTTTTCGATGTAGATACTCTTTTTCCAAAACCATGAAAAAAAATCTCTTCTTGCGATACAAATAGAGTGTCGACATCAAAATTTGGGACACATAATCGGGGGCCATCAACTTTATCATACGATGTTAGCTAGCTATCTATATCAGCTATTGCTATAGGTATAGCTGCTTTTTAACGTATATCTTCGCTCGAACGCTGCGTATACTTGGCATAACAATGGTGTCATTGTTTTGAAATGATTTAAAATGTTAAACATAGTGGTTTGTTGACCACGGATTGTCACGGTAAATGTATTTTCTGGGAATATAAATCAATCTGTGTCATTCGTATATGGTATCCTCCAAATTGGTCACATTTGTCTTAAAAAGAAAAAAAAAATCATTTAATTTGCATAACATAATTCCAAAAATACGAAAACTTGGAAGACCCTCCTCAAAACAACCACGACTATTGTGTAATAGTACACGGTATAAATCGGCAAATTGTAGTGCACGGTAAATATCCAATAACTCTGAGTTTTTTTTTATCATCTTGATGAAATTGTAATTTTTGTAGAGGTGTTTTGTAAATCCATGAAATTTGTATATATTTAATCAGTGATGGTTTTTTCCTATCTGAATAGCGCTAGCTATTCGCAGCGTCTGTAAAGCATTGCTGCCCAGATGCTGAATCGAAGCGGTTGCCGCACGCGCAACACACTTCGTTTGTACCACACAGAGCATATACGTTCGCGTTCTTTCTCTGTTCGACATGCGTTTGTATACTGACTATGGTATTAGTGTATCATACTCTGTGAGCTCACTGGTTACTTAGACTATATGACAATATGTTGTGTGGAACAAAACGCGTGCTGTACAGACTCTGCGAATAGCTAGCGCTATTCAGATAGGAAAAAACCATCACTGTCTTTAATTGAAAAAGAAATCATGATAATTTTTATTCGTTGAATGCGAGTGCACGAGTGAAGATATGCGTTAAATAGCAGGTATTTATATATCCCAATAGCAATAGCTGATATAGATAGCTAGCTAGTAATGTTGTATGAACTTTATCATGGAGTTGTACACAAACTGGTGGCGCTGACATAATTGATTACATTTACACATAATTGATCACATTGAGCAAAATTGCTCCAAATGCAACCGGAATCGCAGAACATAATGCATAGTATAAGTAAGGTACATACAGATCACCTGTAAGAACAATGTAGTCAACGGCTGAAGCAATAAACCTAGGGGGATTCCGCGCGTATTTATGTACCAAAATTTAACTTTATTCTTAAAATCTCATAAAAATTTTAATATCCGACCATATCTGACAATATCTGTAAGTATTCAATCATATCCTAGTTTCTGGAAGTGGGCTTTGGTGGATCCTCAGGATCATGAGAATGCTCCCAGTTCTGGAAGTGGACCCTCAGGATGGGCCAGGGCATTGTCAAACCATAGTCTGGTCCATCCTGAGGATCCACCAAAACCAACTTCCAGAACTGGGAGCGGTCTAATGATCCTGAGGATCCACCAAAGCCCACTTCCAGAACAATTATTAGATCACAATATCTCACAATATCTCACATATTTGTTAAAAATTGACATTTTGTACTTATATCTATTCAAATGCGCTAAAAAAGTTAAAATCTCTTCTTTATCTGCAATATTCAAAAGCGCGGTTTCCCCCTAGCAATAAACAAAATGTTGAAAAATGATTTTTTGACGAAAAGTTTTTTTTGTGATATTACGAGACACTTGCCTGATTTACAATCAGTGTGAGAGTTAAGGTATTTGCGATATTATATGGTATTAGGTTGATATATGGAAAACACCAAGTTGATCTGTTGATTATGTTCTTTTATTTATTTAATATCGAAAATGGATTAAATTTCTAAAATTATAAAAGTATCAAAAACTTTAAATATCGACTTCTGGCGTATTATATTTATATATTTATGATACGTATTTATAGGAAATCTTTGCGTGTAATCACACCTCTGACATCGTTCTTTTTATCGACCACAATCAAATGTCTCAGCCCCAGTGCACGGAAAATTTCGAAGATTTTCGCAACCGATGCATTTTCCATGGCACTATGGACTGACCGATTCATGAATATCTTTAAATTAATTGAATACTTTAGGTCCTTTGGCGAAATTGGCACGAGCTATTCAAAAGAAAATATACACAAAACAAGGTTTTTAATTTAATTTCGAAAATATTAATCAAAAAGTTTTAGATGCATACTTCAATCGATGGATATCGTGGATATTCATTGCGGAATGTTTCGATGGTGACATCGGGGAGCCATTGGCGCTCAAGCTCAACAAAGTATCGATGGAAAATAATCACAACCAATTGAGAACGTAAAATAAGGCCGCACAAATGTCCGGGTGTACCATCTTCGCTAATATTATCGACGACAGGAAAACCATTATGTGGATATTTCTTGAGAATGTCAACGATTCGCGAAACTTTATCATGGAGTTGTATACAAACTGGTGGCGCTGACATAATGTGCACTGCTTTTAAGCAACGGTACGGTCGCTTTACACGCCAACCCAACATTGGGACCTACAGATTTTTAGCATTTTTGATTAGATTTGCAATTGTAAAATAAATTGAAAAAGTATACCTCGGAAACAGCAATTTGTGTGTCGTATATTCCTTCTGTAAAAAGATCACCCATCCATTTGGCACAAGTGAATGTTACAATTAGCGGTAGAGCAAAGGATATATTGCCCGTTGATTCGATTAAAATGGCCGTCAAACTTAATGTCATCCGCATTACACCACCCAATTGAGCTGCGGCGCCGATCAACGCATATTTGCTCGGTTGGATGAATGCCTGTGTTGGAAATGGTTGGAAAAAGCGGTGAGTATTGAAATTGATTTTTTTCGCTGACAAAACATACCGCATTCGGAAAAGTAAATGATAAAATTGTCGATGTGACACGTCCCCAAGCAGCACCAACTAATAGGGTTGGAATAAAAATGCCCATGGAAACACTCAAACCATATGTAATACATGATAATGGATAATAAATAACCACAAACACCATTAAGGTGAGCAGTTGATGTGACCCGGGTGGATCGTGAAATAGTGCTTTGACCGATGCTTCAGGCGTTTGAAACCAGAGTGCAGCAACCGCATTATATTCATTATCTTTACAAAACAGTTGCACAGGATGAAGCGTCGGATCGACTCCAAGTGGCCTACAATCATTTATTGTAAACATCATAACGCATGCCACGGTAGCAGTTAAAATTGCCACTAGAACTGCTTCGGCCACCTTTGCCCATTTTTTTTTCACGAATCTAAACGTGAAACAGATAATAATTTTTTTTTTTTTCACATTTTTAGATGATCAATTGGCAAATAAAAATTCGATTTAATCGTACCTTGTTCTAAAGATGCTCATTTTCGTATTCACATAAACCCAAAGTGCGCCAAATATACCGCCAACACAGCCCATCAACATGAATATTGGGATTTCATAATAAGAGTACGGCAATGCTTCGAATTGGCCCAAATTGAATAAACCGGGATATGCGAATGTTTTTAATCCATGATACAAACTCAATACCAAATTTAATGTAAATGAGCTTATAATTGATGCAATCAATGTACGTAGAAAGAGATTTGGATTGTAAAATGATGCGGCTTCTTCGAGTGCAAATAATACACCACCGATTGGGGCACCGAAGGCCGCAGCAACGCCAGCCGATGCACCGCAAACCACAAAATCGCGTTTTTCATGGTCGTCACGAAAATAACGAAAAAATCCGAAATCTTTGCGGAATGTCGTACTTTTGCCTTGACTTATGCCAGCCGCAACTACACTACCGGCCTGAAAAAAAAATCGAATTATACACATGGAATTATATCAATAAAATTGGCAAATAAAAATCGATAATATATACATGAATCATTGGGCCTTCTTTGCCTCCAGCTAATGATCCAACAACCGACATTATTACTCCAATCACTTTAACAAACAATGTTTTTATTCGTACAACTCGTGGCACTTTTACACCATTTAAATAGCATTTCACCATTGGTACCCCGCTGCCAGCAGCGACTGGCTGCAAAAATAACAAATGAAATTTGTTTAAATAATTAAACAAAAAAAACAGAATCGATTGCATTTACCTCGATGTAGGTCACCAAAATTGCTCCAAACGCAACCGGAATCGCAGAACATAATGCATAGTATAAGTAAGGTACATACAGATCACCGTTAAGAACATTGTAGTCAACGGCTAAAATAATAAAAAAAAAGTTTGAAAAATGAAATTTATTGTGACACAAATAAAAATTACCATTTTTCAAGAAGCTGTACTTCACGATTGATAATTGGTCGATAACAATGTCAATGAAGCAAGCAATTAAAGCCGTCAAAATACCTACGAAAAAAAAGGAAGCCGGTTGTTCAGATAACCAGTTAAACCAAATGAACTCACAAATTTACCAATTAAAATAAATAGCATCCATCGCACGAAATCTTTATGGGAACCAGCATGAGATTCTCTGAATTTGGTGTCATTTTGGTATAACTCATTGTCACAAATTTCATAGTCTAAGCTCTGAAATGGGATGTAATTCAAATGTGATTTCTATCAAACATTGTAATACGTAATACGTACTTCGTATTTTGATAAGGTTTTTTGCTTAATTTGTCTAAACGAAGGCGTTGCTCCATTATGTATCAATGTTTCACGCATTGATTCGGCATTGTCCTGCAATGAATATTCAATCAATTAATCTTTCTTTTAGCTGAAATCATTTCTTTAAAAAATTGAAGTTACCGAATCACTGTAGTCATCGTCACTTGAATGGACTGGTGTTGTTCTCATTTTGCGTTGATTTTCTACTTCCATCACTTTGTTTTTGTTTTACAAAAAATGCATTTATACAGTCATTAATATCACTAAAACATTCTTTTACATCACATATAAAACTGAGTTTAAAATCAATGGCTTTGATTCAAAGCATGCAACGCTTTAGCGATACTGTCGTATTTGCTAAATGATATGAGAATTTATTTTCCTCCCCTTACGGCGACAACTACATCATTTATCGCACAATTAACGTACGACAACTATACAAAAAAAAAACATTCAAATGAAACTGTTTGCTAAACTGTTCACATGTTTGACATAAACAATGCCAAAATTGTGAAATCGTCACAATGAATCATCGAAAAACGCGCCTATTCTGACAGATGTCGATAAGTGTATTTGTGCAGTTGTGAAATGCACACATATGAGCCCGTTATATCATTGTGAAATGCTTGCTTTGCATTTCTAAATGCGCAGATTAGAAATTATGTTATTTTTTCTTTAATAATTTTGGCATTTTAGGGCTAATCAAATTTTCTTTTTATATATTTGGGAAATAATCTTTGATGTTTTTTTCAAATTCTGAAATAGATGTGTACGGCGAGAGTTCAATGCGTTGGTCTCGAATATGCATGATCCATACGACTTAAATCAAAATAAATGCAAAATTTGAGCCGAAAATAAATGCAAAGTGAGCTCAAATTACAGACTGTACATAATATCATATATTTTTGTTTTGTTTTGACGAAATATTTTTTTTGAAAATAAATAATGCTCCAATTTTAACTGAAATACATGTCAATAAATCGATGATAATTTCAAAATCGAACGAGAGGTTGTATTATTTATTTTTGTTTTTGTGCATGTATTGTTTGCATTTACACACACGCGCATACATACACATTTGACTTACGCCTTCTACCTGCAGCGATCAAAATGACTTTACTGTCGAACACATAAAACCACAGCAGATATCACCAACACAAAGGCAAAACACAAATTGTACAAACATGACAAATAGACATTTAAATTGTGGGAGTGTTAGTGTGGTGAATATTTTAAACGACAACAAGTTATCGTCATATTTTTCAAATACGATCATACTTTATTTATCATACTATTTCTTCTGATCAATGAGAAAACGAAATCTCTCTCGAAAACGATGGAAAAATGAGAGATTCAATTGAAAAAACAAAATCACTCTAGAAAATTTTGTAAAATTAAACGCAAATATTGTAAATGTGAACGAGTCATAATTATTTTTGTTATTGTTGAAGACGGTTACACATAGCAACGTACGCACCCATACGATCACAGAAATATATGTGTGGCTGTTGATTTTCTTATAAATGTATGTCCAGCAATTTGTGTGTTATTTATTGACATAGCTGCACGGCAAGGGTGTGGTGATATTAATTGAAACTCTTGCTTTAGTGACATATACTCGATGGTCGGTCTCACAAAAGTGTTGTGCTCGTTTATTCACAAATAAAATCGATAGTTAGTTTGCATAGAATAAAACACCAAAACAATCCATTATTTTATACATATCATTCCCAATTGTATTCTTTTTTTTATTTTCTAATAAATAACTTGAGCTGTGTACTTTAAAACAATAAATAAATAAATATTATAGTTTATAATATTTCGTAAAAAGAAAACGAAAAATTAAAGGTGCGAAAACAAAATGTGGAAAATTTGTTTATTGATCGCATTGTTGCCGTTGGTGTGCTATGGCCAAAGAACACCATCCATTTCATACATAACCCAAGAACAGATAAAAGATATTGGTGGTACTGTTGAATTAGAATGTTCTGTACAATATGCACAAGATTATACGGTTTTATGGGTGAAAAATAGCCGTGAACGTATCGATCCCGTATTTTTGTCAATAGGCAGCTCTTTAGTCATTCGTGATTCACGTTTTGCATTACGTTATGATCCGTCGTCATCAACCTATACGCTACAAATTAAAGATATCCAAGAAACTGATGCTGGAACATATCAATGCCAAGTCATCTTATCGGTGAACAATAAAATTTCGGCCGATGTGGATTTATCGGTGCGTCGACCGCCCGTTATTTCCGATAATTCAACACAATCACTTGTCGTTTCGGAGGGCAAGCCCGTTGTTATGGAATGCTATGCAGGCGGATATCCACATCCAACGATCACTTGGCGTCGCGAGAACAATGCCATTTTACCAACTGGTATGTATCACAAACTTTACTTTCATTATTTTTTAACATTCAAGTGACCATTTTTGGACATTCAAATTCATTCTATGGAGATACTCTCTCTCTCTCTCTCTGTGTAATGGAATCGGAAAACAACAATACGATTTGACCGTTGCAAAATCTCATTTCATGAAATAAAGATTTTTATCTTTGCATGAAGAGAATTTACGGAAAAAACGCATTTTGTTTCATAAAAGGGCTCCGAGAATTCTAAATGCACATGTTTTATTATTATTTTACACAACAAAGGTAAACATGACTGGTTTAAAAGATAGGTAACAAAAACAAAGCATAGAAAGAAAGAAGAAAATCACATAAAAAAATTAAACTTGTTTTAAGAGCGAACAAAAAAAAAAAAATGAAGCAACAAATTGTAAAGAAGAACAATCTTATTGTAATTGGGCAAGTACAACCAGAAGTCGTGTTTCATAGAAATAACAAAAATTGAGACACAGAGAAAAATGCATCATTTCAGAATCTCATTTTATCTGTTTTTCGCTTTAAAATATTCTATTTCAACATGTATGGCTGACAGACAATACAAACCATTATCTCTTACCTGTTCGTTAGACTGTGTCTATGCAACGAAGCAAATGCAATAACTCTATTACGTCCAATAACAACAACTGCAGCAGCAAATGCAGCAACAGCAGCAGCAGCAACAAAGAGCAAACATTGAAAGAGCAAATGTGTATCGTTTCACTTATTTCATGCTTAGTTTATCCTCTTACCTTACCTCCTTTCATTCTTTGGACGATTGTTCTTGCTCAAACCTAGGCTCAAACACTATTTTTTTCTTCTCTATTCAAAGGCCGATTTTTTTTAAATACATAAATTGTGTATTCCGCATCACCATATGCTGTGCACAAGACAATACAGTTGCACATTTTCCAATTCATTCTGACAATGGACGCAATATTTGAGGAAAGTGTAAAATATAACAAAAACAAGGAAATAATAATACTTTTACAGGATAGAAGAGAAATTATACCTGAATGCATTCGTTATCACGTTCAAGATCGATATTTTCAAGTGTATTTTTGTTTTTGAAACTTGGCACACTTCACATCACATTAAATACGTATCTATACATGTATGAATAGATGGTGATGCGCAACGCAGCCGACAAATAGTCTTTTAATTCAATGATTCATCTGCAATGAATAGCGTCTTTTTTAAATTATTGATTGTTGTTAGAACATGTTTCCGTTCGATTAAAATGGTGCGCCTGCTGTTGGTTTGTTAATGTGCGCATGTAAAGTGCGTGTTTGTTAATTGATAAAATGAACTTGATCTTATGGGGAATCTGGTGAACTCTTAAATCATATGGCATGTTGTAATCTGTTAAAAATCTTGAAGAAGTTTGATTACAGTTTATAATTTCATTTTGTCTCTTGGTCCTAATGGGCATTTTTTTTCATTTTTTTTCTAGGTGGTGCAACATATACTGGTTCAATTTTGAAGATAAATTCAGTTCGAAAGGAAGATCGTGGTACATATTATTGTGTTGCTGACAACGGTGTAAGCAAAGGTGATCGTCGTAACATTAATTTGGAAGTTGAATTTGCTCCAGTTATCACGGTTCCACGACCCCGACTTGGTCAAGCCTTGCAATACGATATGGATTTGGAATGTCACATTGAAGCGTTCCCATTGCCGGCAATTGTATGGCTTAAAGACGATATTCAATTATCAAACAATCAACATTACAGCATTTCACAATACGCAACGGCCGATGAATTTACCGACACCACAATTCGTGTGATTACCATTGAAAAACGACAATATGGCGATTATATTTGTAAAGCCGTCAATAAATTGGGTCAAGCTGAAGCAAAAGTTCATCTATTCGAAACGGTCATTCCAGTTTGTCCACCGGCTTGTGGGCAAGCCCGTTATGGTTCGGCTGAAATTGTTACACCAACAACAGCTGCCATTCTTTTGACCGCTCTGATAGTCACACTCTTCAGATAAACACCAATACAACAAGGCGACATGGAGTCAAAATTGATTTACAACATTCCAATAACAATTAACGTTTAGTTTTAACCGATTTTTTTAAAAGTAATCTCTGTATATGTAATCTCAATCAGTTTGAATTGGCACAACAGAATCTCAAATTTGATCATTAATGATCAAAACACAATAACGATTTTAAAACAAGTTGGTACTCTTACATACATACGTCGTACGTCTTACGATTATGTCCCGTCCATTTTTTTCTCTATACAAGTAGCATATTAGTCTCACATCACGATGTCAATGAATTAATTGAGATTCATTATAGTGACAAAATGTTGAAACCAATTCATCACAAAAGCAAACAATAATGAAAAGAAAAAGTCAATCAAAAATTATTTTAAATTGCTAGAACGACTGCCTTCCCTACGTGCCTGCTCACGTATGTAAATGTGGCAAATTTTTGATACGCATTTTTTTAACCGATAAAATAAAATTAGCGTTAATACTATAACAAAAGATGTATATTGTTACCGTCCGTTGTTGATATTAACATTCTAAATAGGTTGATTATCGTAAACTACATAAAAAATGACTCCAAACGTATCTCCCGTCCCGATACTTAGATTTTACGTTCAAATCGGTTTTTTTTTTTCAAGTACAAGTCTTTTTTTTTTTTAAACCAAATCAAAATTACGCAGCTAATTTTCTTTTACAGACATTTTTTTAGTATGTAATATACAGTTTATATTGTAAGAAATTGTATAAAATAAAGGACTTGATAGAAATCAAATCAGAACATACAATCTATTCAATAATGGTTTCAGCTCGAGTTTCAGCTAAATTCAACAAACAACTTATTGTACGGTATGATTGCATTTCTTTTATGGAATCAATTCCTGCTGCGGAAGTACTATGTGAAACGGTGTGGATACAAAAATAATCTCTTAAAACGGAATAGAATACTTGCTTATTTATTTTTCTGTGAATTCGATTATTTTCTGCACAGTTTGCGTTGATATTTCTTTCGTCATTTCAGCAATTTTTTTTCTACAGTACTTTTCAAATTATAGCAGTAACCCAGTTTTTCGATGTAACAAAACTCATTTAACCCATTTACTCTCTTTTTCAACAAAGTGAACCCGTTTTATAAGAAATTTGACTGACTTAAGCTCTCAAAAATAGCTCCATTTCCTCAATTGAGAAGTTTAAAATATCGTTAAGCATTTAAAGTGGTCGGAGTTAAAATCACAAACCGAAATTTTCAAAAATATTTTTGTGGGGTCATTGTATTGATTATGACGGGTCATCAAAAATGATAAGCTCTGTGCAATTCAGTGTTATTGTGGCGTTTACTGACAGAAGATCAAACAAACATGCACAAACCTTATTCCGTAATCAACCAGTGAAAGCCAGTTATGAAATGATAAATAAAAATTACAAATAAACAAAAAGTCGTTAAAACACTCCTTCTGTCTAAGTAAACACAATTATCAATATAAAAAAATACGACCACATGGAAAAAATGTAATTTTGATGTCGTTGTTCTTATTTTCGGTTAGTAAATTCTTTTGACAATGAATAATTGACAGTTCCCAAAAGTCGAACAGAAAACAGGATTCGGCAATGGACCAACGACTCAATTCGCATTGACTTGATTGTCTTCTCTAGTTGTGAAAATTCTTCATATTTGAAGTCTTCGCAAACCGATCACAAATCACAACAGCTCTCGGTAAACTGTCATCGACATGCGTGGTATGGCTGCATTACACGGCCAAACAGTATACGTGCTTCGGATTTCATAAGATGAAAGATAGATTTTGCCATAAATAAAAGATGGTCTTCATTTTAATTGGGATACTTTTTGAAAAGCCGTTATCTGTATCAATTTGAGAGAATAAGATCTATCTTCAAATCATTGCGATATTGACGCGATTAAACACATTTTTTCTCGATATTTTTTTTTAAATAATATAACAAAAGAATACAAAAAGATACATTTTTATTAGGTTAAAATTGTGATAAGAAAATAAATAAAATCAATGACCTAATTTGATGTTACGATCAGCTCGAATAAAATGTGATATAAATGAAATGGAACATTTTTTGATTAAAAAGATATTTGCTTAAAAAAAAATTCGGATGCCATCGTAAATTAAAATTCCAGATTGAATGGATAGTGTTTTGCGTGTATGGAGTTCGGCAGTCTTACTGTACGTTCACCGGTATTCATTGCATCCAGAGCTTCTTTGTCTTCTTGAGCTAATTGAAAATGAAAGATGTCTATATTCTCTTTCAATCGTTTTTTGTGTGTTGTCTTTGGAATTGGCGTAACCCCCAATTCATGCTTTAAATAGGAATAAATTTATCAATTAAAAATTACCAACAAATAAAATCGAAACGAAATAAATTTGCCAAAAAAAAAAAGAGTTTATATTTACCAAATATCTTAAAATAATCTGTGCCGCAGTTTTGTCATATTTTTTTGCAATCTCTTCAATTTCTGGTCGCGAAATTAATTTTTTGCCCAATGGACTATATCCAATAATGAGCACATCACGTTCGGTGCAGAAAGCATTTAATCTCTTTTGATTGATGATTGGTGAGCATTCAACTTGATTTACAACGGGCTTGATGCGCCCCTCCTTACATAGACGATCCACTTGTTCCGAATTGAAATTACTAACACCAATACTTTTTACAATGCCAGAGTCAACCAATTTTTCCATTTCTTTCCATGTGTCCAAATAGTCTATATCGCTGTTGGTCATTTAATAAAACAGTTTTAATTAATATCACATTCAAATCAATAATAACCAACACATTATTATCGATAAAATGAGCGAATCGAATTCGAATAAAAAAAAAACAATCTGTCGTAAATTACGAATCCTTTCTTAAGAGTCTCGGTTTCATGTGCGAAATGATAGAGCAATAGAAATGGAGAGACATACTCAGTGGAAATAAAACATTTTAGCGACAAACAAATACTATCTTCTCTAAATCATATCATTTGATTCAGTATAGTTTCCGGCTGTTTCTAAGGTTTCTCGAAATTAATTTTCACTTTATTGTACTATGTTTTTGTGTGTGATATAATAGGGTGGCGCACAGTTTGAAAATCAATTTGAATTTGCCAACAAATTCGCTCACCCTATAAGGCACATTATACGTACTTTATTGCATTTGGTTCATTGTTCGGCCCTGATTTCGGCCATGGAATATCATCTCCATGATATTCAAAACTAACTGGAAAATGCATAAGATACAAATCGATATAGTCGAGTCCCAAATTCGTCAACGATTTATCGCACCCCTCTCGAACTCGCTCGGGCTCGTGATATGTATTCCATAACTGTATTTTTTGAAGAAAAACAAAATAACGGTTTCAATATCATCAAAATGAGCAATGACAATGTCATACAAGTTCACTGTGTTTAATGCCATAAAATAGTTTTGAGTTTTTTTGACAAAAAAAAAAACAATAAAATAAATATACCTTTGTTACAACAAACACATCTTCACGCTTAATAACTTTGTTGGCGATTTTATCATTGATTGCTTCTCCCAATTCAGATTCGTTATTGTATAAAAATGCGGTGTCAAAATGCCGATAGCCAATATCAATCGCATCTTTAATTACATCAACGCCTTCGCCACCTTTTATCTGTTGATTGCAACAATGATTGATCATATTGATTTTTGAAGAAAAGTCACTTTTAATTTTTGCAATTTTTCAAATAATCAATATTAAACAGTGGTGTTGAGAATATACATACGTTAAAGGTACCGAGACCAAAAGCCGGCATTTGCACGCCGTTATTTAATGTGGTTGTTGGTATCGTTAGGATGTTTGCTGCCATTTTTTTTCTTCCGTTTTTGTTTCTTTTCTTCTTTTTTTTTTTTGTTGAATAAAAATAAAAATCGTAATTATTTTGAAACTACCGAAATTTTTAAAAAACAGATATAAAACAATGTGATAAAAAGAAAATGTTAAATGAGCGGTGAAGTGCAGTTTGGCGTTCTTTATCACACAACGACGAGGAATGAGAGCAAAATCATTACGTTTTTGTAATTTGAAGACGACTATTATTTGCGTCGAATGAAACAATAAAGTCAATGTATTGAAAAGCCGTATTAGCAACGGACACCAACAACTCGGACGATGTGCGGCACAAAATACATTTGCGACTTATGTGTGTTGGATAGTTTGTACTAGTCTCACATACATGCACATCAAACGGCATCTAAATGATGGAATGCTTATTCCAACAATAAATGTATATCGTTTTCGGTTTCATCATTCTTCGCAATAAATGGGCTATCACTGATAATATCGATATAAAACATACAAAATAACTTCGTTTTGTATTTTACCTATAGATAATGATTTATTGCAAACGAACCTCTTTACTATGCAATTTGAATAGATAAAGTATATGAATGTTTGATCAATTTAATTTCACCTCAAAATGATTTAACGATTCATTATATTAAGTGAATATTAATTATTGATATTGCCATTCTTTCGACCAATCAAAATATTACAGTCGATCGTTTTCGTAGCAGGTTTTTGTCTTTTAGATCTATTCGGCATTTTGTGCAAGTGTGTGTTTGGCGAAGGGGGGCTAATACAAACGCAAAACTTAACGAAAAATAGCAAATCTGAGACAACATCAACAGATGTAGTAACGAAAATGTACATCATACGAATCACATAATACGATGCTTAAAATTTGTTTTCGTTTGTTTCTTTCCCACTTCGTCATCGGCGGTGTGACGTCATGCATACACTCTTGTATTGTATATATTCTTCAAGCAGAACAGCTAAATACATCGCGAACATTCGGTCAGTAAAAGCGAAAAAACCCAAGCAACAGCGTATGACTCATATTTTGCTTACAAATAACCATTCTCCATCAATGGAATACTGTGCTCTAGTATAAATAGCTTTGTAGCATTGTTTGTCGTTTTATTTGTGAGTTTGTTTTTCACGCGTACAGTGACTTTTTGTTGTCGACGATTTAAAAAAATTTACTTCCTCTTTTGTTGATTCTTTTTGTAAGATAATTTTATTTTGAAAAGAAATTAAAATGGTTAAAGTTCCATTTGTTGAATTGAACGATGGCAATCGTATGCCTGCTCTTGGCCTTGGCACTTGTGCGGTAAGTTTTCAATACACAATGAAAGTATTTCGAAAGTTTCAAATGATCAAAATAAATGATATATATATATATATATATATATTATAGTCAAATGGAAGTGAAATAGAAAAAGCAGTAAAAGATGCCATTGATGTTGGATATCGTCACATTGATACAGCATGGGCCTATGAAAATGAATACTCCATTGGAAAAGCGGTGAGAAGTAAAATTGCCGAGGGTGTTATCAAACGCGAGGATATGTTTCTTGTTACAAAGGTAAATTAAAAGCATTATTTCAATGGCATCCAGATTTTCATTGACCAATTACATTTTGTTGCAGCTTTGGAACACATTCCATGATCCACAACACGTTGAACGTGCCTTCCGTCAATCGTTGGACAATTTACAATTGGAGTACATTGATCTTTACTTAATTCACTTTCCATTCGGTTATCAATATAAAAATGATCATGAACAATGGCCACGAAATTCAGATGGCTCGCGTGCACTCAGGTAGATTTTATTGAATTCATTTTTCTTTTATAAGAATTCCAAATAATCCATTTACTATCTTTCAGTAATGTTGACTATCTCGACACATGGAAAGAAATGGAGCGTTTAGTGGAATTGGGTTTGGTTAAAAGTATCGGCGTTAGTAACTTCAATAGTGAACAAATAGCCCGACTGTTGACGGTTGCTAAAATCAAACCAGTTGTGAATCAAGTTGAATGTTCACCAACCATCAACCAGAGAAAACTCACAAAATTCTGTAAAGAACGTAATATTGCAATCACCGGTTTCTGTCCATTGGGACATCCTAGCCCAGCTGGTAAAACGCCAGCATTTATGTTTGATAGCCGAGTCGCAGCAATTGCCGATAAATACAATAAAACTCCGGCCCAAATTGGTTTGAGATTCTTACACGAATTGGGTGTTACACCCATTCCAAAATCAGTACGAAAACAACGAATGCTGGAAAATATTAGTATCTTTGATTTTGTGCTGAGCGAAGAAGACAAACAACTCATGGACTCATTTAATACAGGACAACGATTGGTAGGAATGTATGATGCTAGAAAATCACCATACTGGCCGTATGGCATCAAATTTTAAACGCATATCACAAGAAATGATCGAATGTTATTTATTTAGAATTTAATTAAGTGTTCAGTTTAGCATGTAGAAAAAAAAAACATTCATAGGAAATAATAATTTATTGATAAATGCCGAGCATGCATAGATTTTTTTTTGATTAAAATCAGATTTAAAGTTTGATCTTTTTATTGGTACCAAAATAAAACCTGATTACTTTGAGTTTTTCCAAAAGAAATTACAGCAGAGTGACGAAACCACTTTAGTGTTGTGAAAAGTCGATTCGCTATAAATCGACGTAATTCTCAGTTTTCTTTATTTGATTTATATTATACAGCAGATGCTAATCATTTTGCTTCCAAATCTGGCATTATTATAAAACCCAATGTAAACAAAAAAAGGACATGAATTATAATGAATCAATTTCAAACATGTATTTTTATTGAAAGTTTGAAAGTTCAATCATCTTATTGATATCAACAGAAATGAAATGTAAAAAAATATATAATTTTGGTTAAAGACTCGATTGGTTGATGCCCAGAAATTAAATTAAAAGTTGAACTCAAACCCATATAATGTTGTCTATTAAACACAGTCTTTATTTTAAAAATGAATGTTACGAAAAATGTGACTTGCTTTGCATATTCATTTGGAATTGTATGTTTGTTGGCGATTGATTAGTTTGGATTTGGTTTTGCGATGAGATCTTCCTCTTGCATTTGCTTTTGTCGAAGTATGTTGATTTCTCTGTCACGATGCTTCAATAAGCTTTCGGAACGTTTCTGCAACGAAAACAAAGCACTTTTTTTTTACTCAAGAACAATGTTTTAAACAAGAAGAAAGTCGTATGAAAAGAAACTACAAACCTTGAGATGTTTAACGCGTTGATGCATATTCATCATTCGTTTTTTGATCAAGTGTAACTTATCCGTGAGCTCTTTCATCATATAGAACTATATGGTTGAAGAAAAGTAAATAAACCAGCAATGAATTGTTCAAAAGGGCGAATGAAATATGAAGTTCCTACCAATTCCTGGCAATCTTGACGGCTTTCCATTGTGTGTTCCGAATTGAGACGCTCCAATTCAACGCCCATCTTTTCTTGCTTCGTACTAAAATGACAAAATCGATTCAGTACAAATCACAATAAAATGCTTTTTGGGACATACAGTGCTTCTCTCAGGCTATATTGCACCTGATCGAGTTCCTTTTCAAATAGTGCCACAAATCCGTGTGTCATTTGCTGTACAGTTTTATCATTGACCGCTATTTGGTTCGCGACATCCTTTTTATTTGTAGGCTGATTTTCATCACCACCAGCAATACTGTGAATAGCGTTCAAAGATTATTGTAATCAAAATTTAGCAATTAATTTCAACAATGGAAATTCGCAAAAAACGATGTCTTACTCCATTTCCATTTATGTTCACACAATTTGTGTTTTTTTTTATCAATTCCAAGCTTACTAACAATGTCGAATAAACGTAGTATACAAACAGAAGTGAAATGTCAAAGTCAAACTTGTGGTTGTTGTTGTGTTCTGCCGACAGCGCCTTTATATTGTTGTGTCTTTATTATTTTGACACCATATTGAAATTTAAACAGAATTTGGATTGTGACACGAAAATTAAAATCAATTTAAGCTTTAATTGTTTTTTTTTTTTTAATAAAAAGAAAAACTTAAATTTATTTATTTTTTAAATGTATTTAAGCTAACAATAAAAAATGCTTAATGGAATCGACTTCATTGGTCTGCATTGATCTTAACACCACAATGTTATTTTTTCATGAAAAATGATGATATACTTTTTGTGCCAGTGGCCGCTTTGGCCATTTTCAATTCTTTGGCCGACACTTTCTTCTCTTTAGGTGGTGGTGGTGACGGTGAAACGGTTTCCAACATATTTGCCGTTGCAAAGTTTTCTTCCGATTTGATTCGTTTCAATGTATTATTTTCCAGTTCGATTAATGATTTTCTTTTGCCCGCCATCGCCGGTTTCATCTTTTCCAATCCCAATTTATCCGATAGTTTTTCGCACAATTCCAATGTGATATAATCGCCAATGATTCCATAAGCATACGACAAATATTCACCATCTGTATGTTTGTGTGTTTTTTTTAAAAATGAAATAAAGAATTTAGTTTGTTATGTTTTTCCAAAGGAATTAAATTATTTATCATTTTTTATGTTACCATTTTGTGATTCGTTGCCAACTTTTTCCGTTTTGATATAGTTGATAGATTTGGCACCAATGTGAAAGTGACTTTCCTTCAAGGATTTCGCCAATTTTTCACATTTCAACGACAACCAAATTAATGCCTTGCTTTCGTTGTATTTGAATGCCTTCAAAGATGCATCGCCTTTTTGATCAGCGATCTAAAATAAAAATTTCATAAATTGACATTTTTTTTTTCTCGTTCGAAAATGTTCTCGTGTGTTTACCATTGACATTTGTTGCACTGTCATCACATCAGCTATGAGATGAGTATTGGTGAAATCTTCATCGACAATGGTTTGATCGATCGGTTGGCATCGATCTGAACTATTCCGTCGAATATAGTACAATGCCAAAAACAGTGGATCAAATGGTGATGTTATGTATAGATTTCCATCTGGATACACTGTATCATTTGCAAACCATGAGCGATGCTCTTCGCTGAAACTTAACAATTCGAAAAATTGCTGTTTCTCTTTGGCGTATAAATATTTGGTGGATTTTTCATTGGATGGATTTCGCAATGAGATTATTTGAATGTCACCGTCGGACGGTTTGTCTATTAATGAGGCTGTGAAATGAAAACAAATCCACTTAAGATTGAAAAACTTTATTTATAAAATAAGTTTCCATTACCATCGAGAAGAAACACTCGATTGTTGAGGTGCTTTTGTATGGCTGCAATTTTATTTTGATCACTTTGAGTTGATTTTCCTTTCGAACGTGTTGTCATGTTTGCGCGTAAAAACTTTATCAAATAATTATTTATGATTTTACTGTCAAAAAACCAGGAAACGACTCACGGTTTAGCTTAGATTTGGTTTTATTAAATGTCGAGATGCAATCCAAACAACTCAATATAATGCGGTCGATGTTTATTTTGGCGGTTGAATAAACATGACATTTCAAATGTCAATAGCCGATGACAGAACCATTGTTTCTTTTGCAATTGCAACCTAACCTCGACATTTTGAAAAACAGTTCATTATCATTTTTCGGGGAGTCAAATTTGCCGGAACAAAATACCTAAATGTTTCACAGATATGAATAAATTGATATCTTTGAATATAAATCAGGTAATTCGGATGGAAAAATGACAATAAATTATATTTCTCACTTATGTTATTTTAAATATCCAACAATCAGCTGGTGCAATGTTACAAAACAAAAAGTGTTGATCCAAAAGATGTAACGAAACTCTGTTTAGACTTGTCTCATCGGTATAAGCATTTAAATTATTTCATCAGCCGATGTGATGAACAAGCAGCAGAGCAAGCACAACAATCGTCAGAGAGATGGCAAAAAGGGAAACCCATGGGAGAATTAGATGGAATACCAATTGCAGTCAAGGATAATTTCTGCGTTAAAGGGCTACCGACAACATGTGCATCAAGGTTTGTTCATAAGAAAAACGATATCCACCAGTTTTGTTTTGTCATTGTGTTAGATTTGTTTTTCAGAATGCTTGAAAACTTTGTACCTTCGTATAATGCAACGCCTTTCAATCGATTGAATGATGCTGGTGCAGTATTTATGGGCAAAACGAATCTTGATGAATTCAGCATGGGCTCCGGAGCGGTTGATTCCATTTTTGGTCCAACGAAGAATGTTTGGCGATCCGATGATGGTCATATAGCCGGCGGCAGTTCAGGTGGTTCAGCAGTAGCAGTGGCATCTGGAAGTTGTTTTGCGTAAGTGCATTTAACAATCGCAGCACTTCAAACGATCGTCTTCAGATTCCGATTCAAATTGTATTGATTGTATCTCTTTTTGCAGTGCCTTAGGCTCAGACACCGGAGGTTCTGTACGAAATCCAGCTTCATATTGTGGATTAATTGGCTTGAAGCCAACATACGGTCTAGTTTCACGTCATGGTTTGATTCCGCTAGTGAATTCAATGGATGTGCCAGCAATTTTAACGCGTACCGTTGATGATTGTGTTGCTATTTTAAATACCATTGCTGGTCCCGATTCCAATGATGCTACATGCATGCGAAAACGTTACAGTCAAATTGAATTATCCGACGTTGACGACATTTCAATGAAAAACATTCGAATCGGAATTCCAAAAGAGTACCATTGCAATGGGCTTGCAAAGGAAGTCCTTGACACATGGATTAAAATTGCTGATATATTAGAGGATGGCGGTGCAAATGTCGTAGACATTTCGTTACCAAACACCGAATCATCCATATTTGTTTATACAATATTAAATCAAAGTGAAGTAAGCAGTAATATGGCTCGGTACGATGGCATCGAGTACGGATATCGTACCAAAGAATGGAGCAGCACTGAACAATTTTTCGCAATCAATCGACAAATTGGTTTTAATAGTGTGCTAAAGAATCGTATATTATGCGGAAATTACTTTCTATTGAGCAAAAATTTTGAGAAATATTATTTGAAAGCGTTAAAAGTACGGCGGGCTATTAGAAATGATTTTGATAGTGTGTTTCATAACAAAGATAAAACACAGAATGTCGATCTCATTTTAACGCCAACCACGTTGAGCGATGCACCTCTTTATAGTGATTTTACGAAAAATAGCAATCGAGATCAGTGTGCGGTACAGGACTATTGCACTCAGGCAGCAAATATGGCTGGTATGATGAAATGATTTATTTTATGTGCTTCATCATCAGCTGATTGATGTCGTTGTGACATATAATGTATCTCAAACGAATGTATAAACATTGACCCGTCTGTACGCATCGATCAGCTGCTGGTGAACACTAACTATCAATAGAAACCCCTGACATGGCTGAACTCAATACGAGTACTTTTGTATGACGATTAATTTTTTTAAATAGGTATTCCAGCGATAGCAATCCCTATTCGGTTATCAGATCGTGGTTTACCACTTAGTCTACAATTAATGGGTCCAAGAAATTCGGAAAAACAACTCCTAACTGCTGCCAAATGGATTGAGAACCAAGTGAATTTTCCATTTTTTCAGTTCTTAGAAGGAAATTAAAATAAATTATATTCGACAAAAACTACAGCGTTTCGGTAGAATTTGTTATGGTTTCCCTTTAGTCACTATTTTATTTTATTTCCTCTCTCTCTCTCTTTCTCTTCAAATATCTTAAACATTTACTGTTTTCTTTATTTACTTAACATAAGAAGCGACATGGCGTGATACATAGTTATTCACAAATATCCAAAATGGTACAGAAACGGCACCATCGATTCCAGTGGGAAATCTCAAAATCGGTCCGAATGGTATGAAATTGTGCTGAGATCCATTGAACACGATAATTGGTGTGTAACGATAAAAAACGGTAATCAAAATGAGTATGACTGAGAGCAGAGCTTGGAAACCATATGGTATCCCATACTGGTACATGAGCTTTTTTGTCTGATGTAAATTTCGTTCTTCGTTTAATTTGGCTTGTGCAGCGACAATTTTTCGTTCGATTTTCACATAAGCGGTGTACTCTTGACGCAACGAAATATTTTCCAATTCTTCTTTTAATTTGGAAATTTCGGCAATCAATTGTTTTTCTTCGGCCGAAGCTGATGTCAACAGTGCAACAACCTATATTTGACAATCATAAAAAATATGGTGTTAGTTGTGAAGAAAAAAGAAAAAGCAAATACATTTAACACGAATTGTCGAAATCGATGAAAAACAAAAATAACAAAAAATCACTTACTGGCTTCGTGATGAAATGGATAAATGTTATCAGAAACGAAATCACAGTTATGCTCAAAAGTAGAATCATTTTTATTACAACTAAAATTGACAAAAAGAAAATCAAATACTGAAACCGATGGTACATGAAATGAACGAAAATAGAATTTGTTGGTTAGGTTCGTTGTGACATTTCATCGAATGTCAGTTGACAGATTTTCCATAAATTTCTGTGTATTGCTGTTTACATTTCGTGTAGTTGAAATGTTTTTTTCCCTTTAATTTACGTTTTGACTGTGTTTTGGAGTAAAAAAAAGTATTGGCATCCGAAGAGAAAAGCATACAAGTAATTTCTAGTGTGAATAAACATTGACATTTTTGACATACACACAATTCGAATGGAAATCAATCAATTACTACCATTCATTGCTGTTGGATTTATCTGGGGCGTAACGAATCCACTAATTAAACGCGGGTCATGTGGCATACAAGCCAATACCAAAAAAGCTAACAACAAACTCCACCAAGCATTTTTGGAGCTTAAATTTTTAGTGCTGAGATGGCAATATATTTTACCATTTTTACTTAATCAAAGTGGCAGCTTATTGTATGTGTATTTTTTACAAGATTCCGAAATTTCATTGGCTGTTCCAATTACACAGTCATGCACATTTTTGTTTACAACATTGGCGGCTCTATGTTTGCGCGAACGAATTCCAAGCAAATTAACGTTTTTCGGAATAGCGCTCATTTCCATCGGAATTAATATTTGCATAGCATCAAAATTGTAGACAATGTCATACACACACACCACTAATAAATCACTGTTTTAAGTTCATCAATTTTATTTGTATCGTTTTTCATTTCGTGTTTTCCCCTTGTTTCAGATAAATACGTTAGTGCCGAGGTAGCATTTGCGCTCGCGCTCAAACATGGGTATTTTATAAAACCAGATACAAAAAGGCTTGTGTTCAGTGAGAATTGTACTTTTTATTTACAGATGCCTCTCAAATTCTCAAGCGCCAAAATCTTCGTGGACTTGCGAAATGCAAATCATGCAGTCATTATAATGGAATCCGAGCAACATCTTGCAAAAATAAAAAATGTCCGCTATCTAAAGTGGAAACACGACCGAAGCAAAAACCAAAAATCAATGCCATTGAATTGGTTACCAATAGTGAGTCGCAGTTATTTAGCGTTCAAATTCGTGATCGTGACATTGACAATAGAAATTTTGTGTCAGTTACCGATAAAGTTATTTCACAAGATACAAGTGCATCGATCATAAGCCGCAATGCAATTTGGTAATTATAATGTTTTTTTTTCCTTTTTATCAAATATAGTTCAAATGGTGCTATCCAATAAATCTTTTGAACACATTTCGAATGTATTTTTTTTTTCGTTTTCGCAGTTATGTCGACACGTGTAAATATGATTCGAATGACATAAATATTAGTTGTAAACATGTGAAGAGTTCACTGGAATCGTGCACAACCAAAGCAAGAGTTCAAAATGTCGATGTGGATATTTTGAAGCGACTTGAGATGACCAATGATCGGCGTGATAATCTGTTGGCGATGCACAAAGAATCGGAATCGGCGATGCCATTAGTGCAACGAATCAATCAACGAGTTTTTGTAGTATGCTGTGATGTTAGTTTAAATTTTCCCATTGGTCTGTTGCATGTCGTATGCATTGAAGAAGGGAACGGTGTTCAGTGCGTATTATCATTTAATTCATTTTACCTCGTAATAATTCAGACTAATTTGAGCTATAATGATGTTTTTCTTTGCAGATTGCGTTGTGCATGTCAAAAGCCAAACGTGTTGACATTATTTAACCAAAGTACGCTGCAAGACATAGATGTTTGTGATCATATTTTGTTCATTTTTGCAGCCATTCTAAGCGATCTCAATCTACAGACAGAATTCAAAAATTTGGCCGCAATAATCAAACTATCACTTAACAACACAATCGATGAGTGTCAATGGCTTAGCGATGTAAGTTAAATTGTACACAAAACAATAGTGACTTCAATTTTGCGAATCTAATCAAATCACTGGCAATTCAAATTTGTAGGAAATGTCTTCAGTGCCAATAGCTACTGCATACAATGATCTTGGTAGTACAACAATAGCGGCTACGCTTGTCGAAAGTTTGGACAATATTGAATTGATTCAAATACCGGAATATTCAAATATAACCGAAGGTGAAACGTTGAATGATTCATTTTTCAATTTGGAAGAGGGCGACGAGAAAAATCCACCAATTTCGGTTGAAGGTGCAAATATTCCGATGGATGATGCACTTTGTTTGGTTAATTATCGTGTACAATTGCCGAATCAATTCAACGCCAACGACCATGCTGAATTCAGTGATGAAAATTTCAATACAACCGATACACCAAACAATATAAGCATTGATGGCATATACGGTCTTGATGATGGCAGCAATAAAACAAATGATGTCGTTTTTTCATACCTATGCGCATCCGATGATTTGCTATTTGAAGATTTACTCATGGGAGTGGAAGAGGATAATCAAATGTCAAACAGTGAATGTTTAGAAAGAATACATACAGAAAATGAATCCCACACAGAACATGAACAAATGTGTAAAAGTCTTAACAACATTCAACTTGAATCGTATCTCAATTGGCTAGATTCGGTCATTGAAACAACGAATTTAGTGTTGGATTTTAATAATGACGGTCATCCGGAACCACTGAAATTCAGTGTGCCCCATGTAAGTGTGTCAAGAAAACATACAACTTATGTCATGCAATTCATTCAACCATTCAATCGCAATTCAATTACAGTTATACTTTGAAATTTTACGCACCAAATTTTCCGTGGGAACGAAAAAAAAGCGATTGCCCAACCAGACAACAGTCATTAGCAATGGAAAATACAAAAATCTAACAATGTTTACATGGATTTTTTCAAATGTTAAGCAGATCAAGCACATTTTGAGCACAAAAACAGTTTGTATTCATTGGATTTTTCTATTTCACTTAATGAATGAAACTAATCGATTTTGATTTTGTTGACAGATGGAACTCGAAGTTGTACGATCGTTTCGTAAAACATCACAAAATACATTTGAATATATACCAGCAAATGATTTAATTAACTCGGATGACGAAGCTGTTGATGCTAACAATCGAAAAATTCGACCGACTACCTATAAGACATTTTTGAAGATGAAAAATGCCGACAGTAACTGCCAAGCAACTGTAAATTTTTCAAACTTCATTTTAGTATTACATTATTTAATTATTTTATTGAATAGTTTCAGCATAAAGCGAACAAACAAGGACTGTTTGTCATCGAATGGATACCAAATACGCTACCAATTAGCAAATATGGAGAAATGCGAATACAATTACAATATGGTCATATGAAGAATAAAACAGTGTTGCAGTAATCTATTGAATAAATGCTTTTTTATCGTTTTTTTTTACAAAATCTGTTTATATTTTTTAATTTGGATATTGGGCGGGTAGAGAGTAAGTTTATATTGATATCTATAATTGTGAGAGTAAGTTTATTTTCTTGCTAATAATGTGAGTGTATCTTCTGTTGATTTTGAATTTCAAGGTCGCCTACAGATTCCTGTGGAACTAATTTATTATATTTCCATTGTAAAATTATAGACTCACATGTCTGAAATTGCCTTTCTCAGCCATTTTCAGTGTATTTTGGGCCATAATCACACTTTGGACTGAAAAAGTCATTTTATCGCTATTATAAACTGAGTTAATATGCGTTGATTTTTATGACAAACAAAAGCCCGGAGCAATGCCAGTTACCCGATTCCTTATTTCAAACCATGAAATTGTGAAGAAAGAAAGTGCATAACATCCACAGTGCTTATTGTATTCCTCAGGATTTCTATTGGTCAGAAACCATAATTTCTATAATTACATATAACATGTTAATATTTTCAATAATTAATTTATAGCCATTACGAATATTTAAAAATAAATGTCTACAAATTGTTCATATTTTATAAATTCCGCTTGATAAATTCACTCCTCATGGCTTTAACTGCGAAACAATAAAAGCAATCATCACTGTATCTTGTATGGAGGGCTTTGTATTCTCCTGAAATTCGTATCTTTTTGATACTTGCATCCACATTTTCGAATGATTTAATCCCAATGATGTCTGCAACCACGATGTATAATCAATACGAAGACTTCCTGTTAACAGCTAATGGTAACAAATTAAAAAAACACAGACATGGTTATTTATTTCATCAAGGATACTAAAAACTAATCAAAATTACTTGGTCGAATGGTTGCTGCCCAATGTGAAACATTGATTGTAGCAAGCCTGTTTTTTCTTCTTTTATATTTTGACCGGGTAATGATTGGAATTCACTCAATTCGACAGCACACATTTTCAGTTTATAAAGTAGCCATTCACCATTAAACTTTAAGTAATTGTACAGTAGCTAAAATTAAAGAGAAAATATAATTCCCTTATGTAATTTCAAAATTCCAATAAGTTGACATTTACTTTAGCACATTGTTTGCCAGTAAAAGTTTTAAGCAAATCGCCGCATAGAATGTCGGGTATATGGTCACTGGAATCGACACTAAATTCCAAATTTGGTGAATTATGATTGGCGCTGTGTGCGCCATCATTGTATTCAGAGTACGACATCTCACTGAAATGACTTTCATCCGTACTATCTTCCATTGTTACATAATTTTGCGCTTTTGCAATAAGATTTTGGATACCTTCCGTGTGCTTATTGTCTTCGTCAATTGAACATATAGCTTCAGCAAGCGTTGTACAAATTGATGATTTACTTATTGCAGTTGTTGTTGTTTCACTCGTTTTATTGGCCACATCTTTGTCGGCGATTTCGATGAATTTCGTGTAGAGTGCACTGAATAATGTGTGTATCAAAACCGATTCTCCGAGCGGTTGTACTTCGGTCGATATTATTTCGCCAAATGTTGATGTGATCACAAATAAATTGTTCGGCAAACAATCAAGCAATTCAGTTAAACATGAAATTGATAGAGCCATGGTCTAAAAAAAATACACACAAATATATTGGGAATGATCTAGGATGATGCATGGATTTGTAATGTAATAATACTTGATAAATGGTGGCGCCAGTTTGCATGGAAGATATTAATATGTTCGCAATTGGTGATAACAGAGGATAAATCATATGATGCAGAGCTTCAAACCATGGTGGCCGTTTTTGATTCCAAACTTGTCGTCGATCCAAGCAATTTGACCAATCTTTGTGAATTGCCCGTTCAAACGATGCAATTATCGTTGATTTCATGTCCGATGCTTTTCCAACCATTATTAGCACATAGGTAATTGCCAATACAACTTGATAATTTGTCTGGCCCACGGGATCTGTAACATTGTTTCATTAAAAAGAAGAACTTTTTAAAATAAATACCAAAGTTGAATGTACCATTATCGATGTTTGCCCATTCGGCGACTGTATGACAGTCTCGGCTACAAAGAAATCGTTTACATTTTTCCGCATCCACATCGTGCTTTGCAAATGGTTGATCGAGTGCTGCTTTATATGAATCAGATGTTGGTAAATTATTTATTAAATGTGAGAAAATCAACGACGATAAATATGAGTTTTGCATTAAGAGTATCTTTAAGAGCAGCGCCCAGTTTGGTTGTGGTGAATTCAATAAAATTTTTAGCTCAAGTGCGATGGCAGCATTTTTCGTAAATTCGGACATGTTGTTGGCGTTTTTATTGAAATTATCATTTGCAAATATTGTTGGCATTGCAAATTGAATCCATGGCGATGACGATCCAGATCGTGGTTTAAATAGATTATTTACCGATGAATCTTTTCGTAAAATCTATGCAACACAAAAAGTTTATAAAATTCTCAAAGTCGCTCACATTTCAACGGATCTGAAAGAAAAATTACCTTATAGAGTGCACCAAGTGGTATTCCACGTGCCAGAAGAATCACAAATAATTCATGACATTTACAATGGATGTCGCGTATCGATTTATTTTGTTGTGTTATATTCAAGCCGGCCAATGCTTCGCCTGTTTCGCAAACGGACGGTAAAATATCTGCCATGCACAACAGTAAATTCGATATATCAACGAGAAGTAGCTGTGATCGTGCTTTACTTGGAACGATGTGCTGATATCGGACCGTAAGAATGGTCAACGTTTCATTGAGCATTTCGGCCAGCACACGTTTTGCCATGCTTGGCGGTACTGAATTCCATAGATCTTGTTTTGTACCTTGCATATAGAGCCACCACATTTGAATTGTGTACGAACCACGTTCGGACTCAAAAAATGGTTGCTCCTTTTCCCAATGCAAACAATCGGCATCTTGGATAATATATAGTGACAACAAGCGAACGTGTAAATCGAGCAATCGTTCAGCTAATGCTTCAGTCATTTCGTTATACTGTTTGTATGCTATCTAAAATTGAATGAGAAGAGTCTTGTATTGAGAACATTGACATTCTACGAAATGATTACCAGCTACATGAAATAGGGAGGCTGCACTCATGGCCGCCAGAACAAAACACTTATCGATAAAACGTGAAAAAGTTCTCTTTGAGGTATTTCATTTTGATACAGATAATGAAATCGTCACTCAGTAGGCGCTTGCTTGCTGGGAACCGCTCCTAAGCATGTATAATTGTATATGTTAATTTGATTACTGAAGTTTGTATTTGTGCAAGCTGTGTACTAATATGAACGCAGAAGCGGCTTCTGACAAGTGATTGTGGTGCTTCACAAGTGCAATTTCATGCTCTGGTTTTGAAGCAAATTTCTTTCAAAAGGTTTTGTATGAAAATTTCCCTTGAGCCAGAGCGGCTGAAAGTATAATTTTCGAAGCGACCGTAAGTGTTAAGTTCTCAATTAATCGAAGCGCAATTACCTTTAGAGAGCCACCAGATTCATCGCCTCTTGGTGGACACCAATCAACAGTAACTGATCGTAGATAAACCCATAAACTATTTTTAATCAGAGCCGATGCTCCAATGACCGCGGTCAATACAGCCAAATCGGCATGATCGAGGGCTTCTTGACTCAACGTATGAATATGTTCTGTGAAGAAAATTATTATCAGGATAATTGAGTTTGGCCATTGACACAATTACCTAAAAGCTTGTCGGCTGATTTCGTTATAGCATAAACAAACTTTTCCGGACTGGATGCTTTCACAATATTCTTTTCACCTACATTTGACTCATTCAAATGTAACAGACCGGAATATTTTTTGTATGCTGCATAATACTCATCTTCCCACCTGATGATGCGACCAAAATTAAAATACAGAAGAAATTACTCAACAACAAAAAATATGTTTGAACGGCTCCCTGAATAATACCCGATTTGATTTTACCCGACGCTCAAATTGAATTTTATCTAATCTAATTTAAGACAATATATTGAACTGGTGTCAATATTTTTCTATAGTAAATTTTTCAAGAAAATAATTTGTTTTATTCCGGGAACAATTTGATTTTGTTCCGGGAACAATTTGATTTTGTTC